ACAGAAGCCTCATGGACGAGAGACACATCCACCACCACATGCACGCGGGCTTGGCAGCGGAGCCCCACGGGACCAATACTGCCGCGGCTGTACCCAAACACATGCATCAAGTCCTACAGACAGTTCTCGTGAGATTACTAGTACTACTAGTAGTAGTTAGTATATACATACTCGTTCCGAAGTCAGGGCCATCGTATCCGGACAAGCGGTGAGAAAAGTAGTAGCCACAAACGCTTGCAGTTTGGGTACGTCGATGGTTTTGTGGAGGTCGAGCACGACCGCCAAATAGTGTGAAGTCTGCTGCTGCCGAGTGTGGACAGTCCACGCCACGGTCTTGACCATAACTCCATGACGAGGATGGTCAGGAAGGGTATAGAACGAGCCAGATAACCCCCACGACGTCACTGCCGCTGCCACGTCATCTTCGCCCAGATACGATTCTACCATCATATAGTGTGAGTTCATTCGCAATGTTGACACGACCCGTACGAAGATGGTGCACCACCCGCCACGACGACGGCCATGAATTAGTGTGAACCCTTGTTCCAGGCGGCGGGTCGTCACAAGTAGTACTAGTACTACATATAGAAGGTTCGTTGAGGTCGGCTGTAAAGTAGAGCAGCAACACGCGCACGATATGAGCGTCCAGCGCGGCATACTCGACTTGGGCCTACAATCGATGCACTCTGTCACACGTACATATATATCACTAATAAACGTACGGCTGTGAGTGGTCGGGCGGCCCAGTCCGAGCACTGCTGGTGTTTCGGCATCGTGTGGTTCAAGAACGTGAAGGCGAGAGAGGCGAGGCCGACGCCCGCGAGCCGCCGGACGCGGGACATGGCGACCCGTCGGAGGTCGATGCAGGTCCAGTGGGGGGACTGAAAGGTACGAGCCAATGCAGGGTACGACCCCACGAGGCGATCGAGGTCCCCCGAGACGCAGAACCCTGTCACAACAATCCACGGTCGACACAACCTGTCAAACACGGCCGGCACTGTCACACATGTCGCCATACAGTCCAACACAAACACGTGGCCATTTGGAAACGCCAGTTGGACGACCGTCACCCCCAGGTCGTACAAGTCGTCGTTGTGTCCATCTACACATGTGGGGTTGGTCGTGAACGCGCGAGGCCGCCACTCGCAGTCCAGCCCCACGACTACCATCGTCTTGTCATTCGTCGCCCTGTCCATCCACGTGAGCATCGTGTCAATCTGCGACGACGTTTCGACCAAGTGCACTGTCAGAGGCGTGTCCAGCGTGGCTTGCACAAGAGACAGCTGGTGGGCGTGGTCGGCAATGTCATGGGTCGGAATCTGCGATGACGTGGCAGGCAGATGCCGGCGGGCGGCTTTGGCAGATGTGTGCGGGTGGTTCACATACACGTGCGTCAGTTGACTGGATCGACGCGACGCCACATCCCATCGCTGGGTCCGCCCAAACGCTTCCGCCGCCGCGCCGCCATCCCGCCCGTCCAACAACGTCGACAGGATCTGGCACGCCACAGCATCGTCTCTAATGACATTGTCTTTTATAGAGTAGTAGATATATTATATACTTGTCCAAATTCACTGAATATATCTATCTATATATATATATATATTATCAATACTATTACATACCTGGGCAAGGCATACGCCGCACACAAGTCGACGGCCGTGGCATGCCACTTGCCCTTGTGTTGTGGCTCGAGCATGGCGAGAACGACCGTTTCGACCCACAAAGTCGTCACAGAATCAACTACCACTTATCATGTTGGTGGTCGTGGAGATACTATATGCGATATAGTTTCAGTAGTATTACTAGTAGTACATACCTTGGTCGTGGCGTGGGGACGATGCTATAGCTCCTCCTAGAACGTGCTTGGCTTTGAGCAGAAACCGCACGCTCCACCACTTGGTTTTATCGGGTATGATCGTCGCCATGACATGATCGATACCCCCGTCGTCGTCGTCGTCGTCTACATGTACTAGTCCCCTTGCGTCGAGCATGAGCTGACCAATGCGAAAGAGGTTGCCGTCTTCTAGCTCTACCAGAACGACTAGACACTGGACCAGATACCGACCTTTGCGATGCATCAACACCCGAGCCACCTCTGCTTTCACCACCGAGTACGAGATGCCATCATCCCCCAGGGCTAGACTTAGCTGCGCTATAAACTGGGTTGGTTCCGTAGTTGTAGTGAGAGGATCCAATGCAAAATCCACGGTTGTGGCTGTCGACGCGTCAGTACGAGGGCGGCGGGTTGCTTTGGAATGGCTGGCGTGGCGACTACTAGTACTACTAGTACTACTACGACTACTACGACGACTCTGTTGTCGTTGCCCTGTTGTGTCGGCTTGGTTTGCGGCACAGAAAGTACTAGTAGTACTAGTAGTACTAGTAGGGGGAGGAGGAGGCTGCCACGTGTTTGGGTTCACCACAGCGCCCCGGGAGACTTCGACGAACGTTGTCGCATGCTCCGATTCGCGTAACTCGGCCACGACCAGCGGCTTTGCAGTCGGGCTCGACGAAAAGTGTGCGAGGCAAGCGGCTACCACGTCGGCGCGACTGAGCAGGGGAAGCGACGGCACGCCCGGACTTCCCACGATGTGCTGCGTATGGTCGTCGTCGTTGGAAGGGGCGGACGAGACCTTGGAGAGCCAAAAAATTTTGGGTAGGATCGCAAACCGCGACGACGGCGGGGTCGTGCGGATGAGATCGGCTTCGACATCCGACGACCACCACCCGCGCAAGTGGTCGGCGTTGATGGTCGACGGAAGCTCAACATGCGTAGATGAGAATGCACTGGTGGTGCTGGCCAAGAGAGCTAATGGGTAGTACAAGTATCCTCGGAGAAGGATGTGCGATTGAAGAACCACATTGGCCTGTGTCCATTCGAAATGGGCCGACAGCCATCGGGACACGGACACGTTCTCTGTGCACATGCGTACCTTTCGCTGCATTTTCGCGATTCGACTGGCGAGGGTTTCGCCGCCTGCAGTGAGTCCAAGGTTGATAAAGGAGGAGGTGGTCGTGGTCGTCGTGGTCGGTTCACACAGCAAGAAGAACTTGACGGACACTTCCCAATGCATGTGTATGGAATGACATGGAGCGATGGATAGCCAAGGCGACTCGTTGCATCGAAACACAAACTTGAGCTGGGCCGACGATGCCGCCACCTCCAGGCGATCGATGCAAAGGGCCGGACATGCACGCAGCCAGTACTCGACGAGAGACGTAAAGTACACACCAAGATCCAACGATGTTTTGTCGATGCGACGGAGTTGCTCTACATGCACATGGGTTGGATATCCATCATGTGCATCGTTCAATGCAACGTACGGCCAAGGAACGTGTGAAGAGGTGTCGGGTCGACATGCAACCCTTCCAGCCACGCTATGGTGACGGGATCGTCGAGGATGTGCAAGCACATGGCCGGCGGCAAGAAGACGTCACCCTCGGACGAAAGAAGATGAGGACTGGACATGACCCATTCCAAGTCGCGCACGGCCTTTACGCGGTCGCGGGAACGAGTCGACATGGAAATTGCCATGGCTTTCCAACCTCGACAAGAATCTGATAAACCATTGTTCATACTCCGGAGTACATGATTCATCTATTAGCATTATTTAACGATATCTGAGGACTCCCATGAATCTGAATAGAATAAATAATTATGTCATCTATTTCAAGCTATATAACCTTGCGAGACACACACCATGTTCAAATCAATGGATCATTTTCCCATGTGACGACACAACCAAGCGCCAGGAACAGTTCGAAAGGAATCAAATCGTGCGGCTGCTGTGGCCCGATCGTTCTTCAAGTGTCAAATGAGTGGCTGCCAGGGGCTTATACTTAAGGAACCACATTTTATATGTGCCAAGTGCCAGTTTCGTGTGGGATGCCGACGCGGTGGCCGCTTCGGAAGCCAAAGGGATGGCACTCTGCTCTCGGAGCTTCACACAGACAAGTAAATCGACGACCTATAGTTCCTACCGCCACGTCAAGGGCAAGTTGCCGAAATTGTTGCACAATGTCCACCTGTACATTCTTTTACACCGCGTCATGGGCTGCTTCGTCCAGAGAGTTTGGGAGATATTTCCGTACCCACATATTATAACGTTAAGCTTACGAGAAATCGATAGAGCTGCCCAAACTTTCAGCGCAACTACATGTAGTGGCCCTTGGCCGGTAACTACCACCCGATTTGCCACGTTGTGCACCAAAGCCACAACGAAACCACCGAAAGATCATAACCCCAAAGCCCGTCAAGGACCTCCGGGTAGTTCAGAGAACAAAAGGACAACTCAGCCAGTGACAACGATAGGTCGTGCACTTTGAATATACACTAGTTATACTTCAGTACCAGGTCAAATTTGGAGTATCTCTGCGCTCGTCCAGATATTTCTAAAGTGCCGACAGTGACGTTATACAGTACTGTTGTGCAGTGGTAAACGTGTCCTCGCGATGACAGCCATGTCCAAATGTCTTCCCCGGTGTGGCCCTTCGGCGACGACGTCAGCAGCGTCAACGGAGCAGATACAGACCAAATTGCCGTCTTGAATGTGCTTGAGCAGTTTCAGGATGTCATCAAAGACTTCAAAGTATCCTCCGACCACGGGAACCCATGCTAGACACCACGTTCGACTGTATAGTGCCATCCACGCTGCTTGCGTCGTTGCCAAAGGGCGACACCGGGGAAGACACTCGGACGTGGCTGCCATATTCGACACTGGCATGTTGCTTCCGATGTAATCTCACTTGGCCACGTGCGAGTGTACGGTACAGTGGCGCTCGCGGCTCTTCGTTCGTTGTGTGGAAATGGCAAATTGTAAACTGACAGAAAACACTTGACCATGTAGGTCGAGATACTTGTATAGTATATTCCAGTGTAACGTCGTTATCGCTTCAACTTGCATTCATATTCTAGCCAATCAACGTGCATTCACGAAACAGATCCACCAATCGTTGTGCAACATCAGCCCATTCGAAATATGTATACTATACATAAGATAAGCTTAAACTGTGCTTTCTTGAAGGCATCCTTCGCCAATACTGTAATGACTTTTCGCAACTCTAAACTAGTACCAGTATTTTAATAACTACTAGTATTGCACAAAACCAAATCCTTTGAACTAATATCCAAATCAACTGGATTCGATTGATATCCAACAAAGGCCAGCATCCGCCGCCGCCGCAATCGTGCTTAACGACGGTACCGATGGCGCTTAAAGTTAAAGTGGAGCTGGAGAATTCCTCGGTCAAACACACACTTGAACCCTCGTTTATGGGAAAATTCCCATTCCTGGTTGACGATCTTGAACCCCACGTCCACATATGGTGGCCCTGCCGAGAAGCGCAGCACGCAAAACTCGGTCGTGCCTTCGATCGGGTCAAACGTGTACTTGGGCGCGACGTACTTTTCAATCAGGTCAGGGTAAAACAGATTGAACTTGTACCCCTGCACGATCTTGGGGGGCGCGCTCTCTTCGCCGTCGTAGTGTGTCTGATTGTACTTGTTCCAGTCGTACCCCGTCTTGATGCGGTTAAAGAACCTCGGCTTTCGCGGTCGGTACTGGGAAGCCCATGCCGCCAGCCTCGCAGTGGCCACATCCACCTGGTCAATCAACTGGGTCTCGGCATCTTCGTTGCCACGGCCCATCTCGAGTGTCCACATGGCGAGCGCGGCGCGGCTATCGTCGTCAACCTGCGACTCTTGTTCAAGCAGCTGCTTGGCTTTGGCTTTCTCCGAGAGTTCCATGTCGTTGGACGAGTCTTGGTTGGGTAGCGCGGCGGCGATGGACGCGGCGGCATTTGCTTCTTGTTCCTTGACTCGATCGGCAAGCCGTTGGAGTAGGGATGTATGGATGGCCCGCAGCTGCGCCTTGGCCTGATGTACTGCGATCTCTTGCATGACGTTCTCATAGTACTCGACGTCGATACCGCTACCACCACCCGCCAACGTCTGGTTGATTTCGTGTTGGAGCTATTATACACATATGTTAGACGATTATTGGTGGTGGTATTCTGTACTACTACTACTATGATTCTAACCCATCGACTTTTTACTTTGAATTAGTGTGTGACCTTTATATTTAGGGTGGGTATAATTCAATATTAAAATAAAATATTTTGAAATGTGGGTCTAATTAAATTTTAAATAAAATAGATAAAACTATTTTATGAAATTTTAATACTTTATTTTTAAAATTTATTTTAAAGCCTGAAAAATAAATAGGTACTGCTCCTCAATCGAATACGAGCAGACGATGACAACCCAATCGGCAGACAATCGACCAATCAAAATCGAGATCACGAATCAAGTAGCCAATCAAATTGTCCACTCATCGACCACTTCAACATCGAAACACCAATTTTCCATAAAGTTCAGGATATTTCCACTATATATTTAGATTTGGCGATTCACCACAAAAGGCCAATTTTTTGGGGAAAAGGACAATAATATACTACATTTTGGACGAATATACAGCTTGAAATGATAAAAAAATCACACAAACTGAGGTATTTGGCATGACAAAAGGGGGTGTGAGGGGACTGTACCTCGTCCAATTCGACGCTGGATTTGTCCTGCAGCATCTCTGTGATGGACGCTTCCACGTCGCGGTGGATGGCGCCGCGTCCGCTCTGCCGACGATGGAGACGTTGCAGGTCATGCTGGCACAACACATGCAAGAGGTTCCAGAACGTAAAGTGCTCGCCAGTCTTGCCTTCCAGCTCCATGTATACTTCGATCTCGTCTTTCAGTTCGCTCAGTGCGCGCGCGTCCAAGTCGGCAAGCAGGTCCTCCGGTGGACGGAGCTCGACGTGCGCATGTTTGAGTTCCGCGAGGGTATCCTTCAGCGCCTTGGTCGGATCGATCATCGCGACCGCCGACAACGATGCCAGCATGAGGTTCTTGGCGAGGAGGTCGATGGGTTTCTCGCGGCCTTCCCGGATGCGAATGTGCGATCGCACGCGGGCTTGGGACAAGTGAAAGTCTTCTTCCTTCTGCTGCCAGTCTTCGTATTGCGATGCATCTCGCAGACGCATCTCTTCGTTTTTGAGGCGCTCCATCTCTTCCCGCTCGGCGTCGCGATCGTCCCGACGCCGACGGACCTTCATGATCTCCCGCACGAGCTCTTCGCGCTTGTCTTCGTCAGGTTCGTCATGACGTCGCTTGCTAGACGACGAGGATTTGGTGGTGGCGGATGTGCTGCTCCGACCTTTGTTCTTGTGCCACACAAACTTCTCCGTCAAGTTGGCATCGTTGAACGGATTCTGGTCGTTCGAGTACCCCATCTCCTTGACGATCTTGGATGCCTTCTTGCTCCTCTTCTTCTCACGCCGCTGCTGCCGCCGCTCTCTGTCGCTGTCGCTGTCATCGGACGACTCGTCCCGTCGCTTCGACTTGGAGCTCTTCCCCATCGTTCCACCACACCAAATTGGGAAATGAGAAACCTCTATGAACTAATACGTGATACAAGAGGGATTGGTTAAATGTAGACCACTCGCACCAGTTGTTTATAGTGGGATCTACAAATAAGATCCGGATATTGATCGTGCTGAGTACAGTAAAACGCTTACTGCGTGGGGTCGATATTTATCCGGAAGGAACAATGTTACCCAAACTTCCAAAAGATCAATGACTTTGAAACACCCGCCAGCGCCGTCGCCGCCGCTCGAGACGAAGGGCTCTTCCAGTGTCGAAGAAGAAGACCCAGACTCTCCAAAGTCTAGACCACCGCGGGTGAATGGTCTCGCCGCGCCGCATTCCCGAGATCAGTTCATCTCATGTTCAGGACATGTCATCAGCGGCGTCGCCTTTTACATCGGCCTGGGTTGCCTGATGCTGCCTTCGAATCCATCCAACCGAGCACAAACGAACCACGCCGCGATAAACATGACCTTTCCACGTGAACAAGGATCCGTCGAGGTAATATGCCCGTGCTTGAAGCACCAATCTGCGATTCTGCGTACCCTCAGTCATGTCGTCCTAGGCATGGCAAGTGGTCGTCTTCGCCATCCACATCGCAACGATGGCGCTGCTCGTGGTGGCATGGATCTCGTGTGAAAGATGCAACCCGGGCGAGATCTCTTCCGGAGAGACTTGCGAGTCCTCGTCATGGCTCGGAGTCGTGTTGGACGGACCGCGATGGGATAAGACACGGTACTGCGCCATCTGCCGCAAGACTATTCCTGGCATGGACCACCATTGTACATGGTACTCCACATTCATATCCATATTTCCATTTTTTCATTCGTATTCCATCCTTCCTAGGTTGAACACGTGCATCGGGCGACGGAATTATGCGCAGTTTTTCACGATCGCTGTGTGCGGCAACATCTTGTTCATGCTGCAAGCTGTCGTGTCTGTCTACTGCTCGTCATGGAACTACACGGCGCATCAACCTACTGACGGAGCCGTCCGCGGCCTAGCGCAGGTACGTCGCAACGAAACGAATATGCAGAAACCAACGGCGCGGATGTAGAGCGCGTTTGTCGTGTCCGCCGTTGTGTCGGTGCCATGTCTCGTCATGTACTCGACCCTCCTCGCTTTCCACGTGTATTTGTCGTGGCAAGGCTACGGCACGTACGACTACTTTCTCAAACGCCGCGATGTCCAGCGCGCCGAGCGACGGAAGAAGCGCGACGCGCAGATGGAAGCCCAAGCGGCATCTATCCAAGGACAGCACCATGGCGAGCCTGCTACTGCTGTTGCTGTCGTCGTGTAGATTCATAGAGAGTAGTAGTAGTCCTGTGTACGCTTTAATGGGCAGCTGACGAAACGGTATCTTCGATGCGCTTCTTCAACGTCGGCAGCAACTTGATGTGTCCGTCGACACACTTGGACACACATTTCTCCATGCCAGCTTGCGCAGCAGAGATTTGGGACTCGGACGGCTGCGAAGACAAGGAATCTTTCGCGCGGTCTTGGCACTCCATGGCGCATCGTTGCAAGCGGTTCTAGCGTCGCGCGACGGAAAGCAATCTGTCAGATGGTTCTAGTATGGACACGATGAACACACAGATGCATCGTACTTGGAAGGTTTGCATTTCTTGGCTCATGTAGTTCTGAACTTGCGCCATGGGTTGTTGGCACCGTTCAATGCAGTGTTGCAGTTGTTCGGCGCTAACGTCCTTGTTGTCGAAGCACTTGACACTGCACACGTAGGCGTTCCGCTGTATAAGACATGACGATTCCATCAGCATGTTCCTCCAAATGTCTCCATGTACGCACCTGCAGAGGGCGGAAGGTCCCCTTGTCCAGGGACTCCATCATCTTGGCCACCGCTTGGTTGATGTCTGCTTCCGCCATCGATCGTGTTTGGAGGACAGACGCAAAATGCAAAATGCGCGGGCAGCACGTTGTATACAAACATCAAGTGAAGATTTGAACCAATCACATTCAACGAGTCACATTAATGGCCCCAAGTTCAATTCGTTTGATCTTGGATGGAAAGGGCGCCACCATCGTCGGCAGCGGCGGCGCTGGACAGCGTGCTCGGTCTACTGGCGCGGCAACGATGCATGAAACAGGAGCCATCGTGGCCAGACCTCCACGAGCTACTGGACAGCATGTTCCAGCACCGGACGGCGTTGCAAGTCCGACGCATCATGACCGACGTGGCGTGGTTTTCACACAGCACTCTGTTCACGGGCGTCACGTCCATCATCGCACAAGGTCTAGTGGACAGGGTTAAACATTCTTCACAAGAAGACGCCTTTAGCCAAGTCTTCCACGCGATCCTAGATCCCGTCCTGTGTCCCCCATGCCGAGACGACACGTTGAAGGCGCGTCGTCGTATGTCGTCATCTACATCGTCCACACAACAGCGATGGGCCAAGCGATGGGAGGCACTTGTACCTTCTCTTCGTCGCCTCATGCACGAGTATCCGGTTGAATTTGCGTCGTGCGTGCCGCAACTGGATCTGGTATCGCTTGCATCTTATCAACACGACTGCGTCTCCGTAGCCGTCCATCACCTCCTCCACCTCATTCCCCATGCTCCGGCCTCTTCCTCCATCATTCCATCGCTCGTCCAGCTGGTCCTGCGTTCGATCTTGCACCTACATGCAGTCACCCTCCGCGACGACCTGCTCCATCGACTGTACACGTTCCTCCAAGATCTACCCTTTCAATCATCGTCGTGTGCCCCCAAAGCTCTTGCCACCATCATTGCATGCCTTGTCGACCATAAAGATCGGTCCAGTTCATGGGAAGCGATGGCGCTGCTGGTTCAAGTGACTTGCGCCGTGTTTCAAGACGTCGCGCTCGACGTTGCCAGTGGCTGGTTTGACCAGTTCCAATCCGCCAGTGACTCTAGTGACCCGTTGCGCCTCCTCACTGGCTTTTGCGCCCACACTTCGTTCGTGGATGCCTCAACCGTCTCTGCCTTCGTGACCATCCTCCGCACCCATCCCACGCACGACCCTCCGGCATCGCTCTTCGCTGTCCTGTACATTGCTACTCACCGCAACTTACCGCTTTCCAACTGCTCGTTGGATATGTGGAAGGACCAAGGCCTCGCTCAGGTACCAACCACCGAACACGTTCTTGCTTCTGTTCTGTCGTCTTCCGGATTCACGAATCGCTCGTGTCATATTTTAAGCTTATTCAATGTATGGAATACATAGATTTATACGATTTTACGTTTTGCCCTACGACGATCGATGATTGGTTCGAAATTTCTCAATAGCGTAGTTTGATTGGCTTGGCCATTCCAAAAATTGTCTGATTTCACACAATTTTGACTCAATATTTTAGGGTCGTTTTTTACATTTTCTCCCTCATTTCGTGTTTATTTTTCTGAAATATTGCATGTTTTCATTGCATTTGCATCGATCGTAGCTGCCACCCGCTCTTGTTGCGCACGTGTTGTCTACGTACTGCGACCTGTCGGCCTACGAAGTCATGCAGCACATGCACTACCTTGGCATGGAGGTACGTACGCCGTGTTCCTTGGCTCGTACCATCATCGTATGGGGGTGGTGGATCCAAGAATCAACATGTGTAGTCCACGACGGATGCAATGTGGATGGACACGCTCGTTCCGTTTGCCGCGCCGCCGATTCATCTGCGTGCACTGGAACTGGTTCGATTCCACCGTATTCCACCGCTTCCTGCATTGAGGGTGCCATGGACGGCGGGTGCGACGCCGTCGACGACACCCGTGAACCATCATCTACATCCCGACGTCCTCCGCCACGTCTTCTCGTTTCTCTCGTGCAAGCGCCTTTGTCGTGTTGCATCGGTGTGTCGAGCTTTCCACGACACGTCCCTCGATCCGTGGCTATGGCAACAACTGTCGACGAAACTCGGCGTCAACACATGCACCCATCCGCCAACGTTTGTCCATGATTGGAAAGCCATCTACCAGGAACGGTATGTACATGTCCGTCGACTCCGTCGCGCGGGGAAGGCGAAGACGTGGGTTCTGTGCGATCAATGCAGCTGCGCTCACGTCAGCAAGACGCCTCTGCAGGCCGAGCGCCACCACCTTCGAGCTCATCGTCCCAAGCGTCCGCGAAAGCGAACGGTGGTGAAATCCGGATAAAAACCGGATATCCACTGCGATTGGTGGATCCAACGGCTGTTGGTTGCTCTGGGCGGTCTGACCCGCCATGTTGAAGGCGACATCATGGAGGGTCATCCTAAGTCCACTTTTGAATCTCTTGGATGCGAGTCGTTGCCACCAACGCGAAGGATGCTGACCCACGGCGGGACGAGTACTCTGAAGACGACGAGGGAGGGGAGAGGTCGCCGTCGCACCTCGACCGTCAAAAGTCGCGCATTGGCGCGCGATGCCACACGGCGAATGGTGGTGCCCGCGTGAGCGTGCGCGACCAGATCTCGGACCTCAACACCAAATGCTGCAAACACCACGACATGCTTCGGGAGATGGAGGAGCGACAGAAAGCGGATAAAGCGTTGGTGGTGCGCTTGGTGGACGAGCTCGAGAAAAAAGTCGCGCAGGATCTGTTTGTGATGCAGACGAGCCACGACAAGGCCCTCAAGGCCGCCAACGAAGAGATCGACCGCCTCTCCAAATGCCTCAACGTCCAGCGCGGCACCGTCACGACCCTCCAAGAGCAGTGCGTGTCATTGCACAAGCATCTCCATCAAGTCGAGGACGACGTCCAGACGCTGGCGACCGAAGTCTTGGGCGATTAACCACTAACGTTATTCGTACTGTACTCGTTCCCGTGTGTTTACCCTGGTCATATCGAGATGATATGGATTCTACTTCCAAGATGTAGATTGATTGGTATTAATATACTTACTTTAGTATCTACTACCATTCATCCTAGGCATTTTGAAAAGCATACTATTAATACTATTAATAGTACTAGTAGAACTCCTAGTAGTACTACAAAACACGAATGATGGTCGACGGAGCATACTACTACTACTTACGACATTTATATCACGAAAGAAAACCATCAACACACACATAACAAGAGTAATTCTAGTATGTATTATAGTAAACAGTACTAGTACTAGTACTAGTAGTACTAGTGCCTTGTCTTGTTCTGGGTTTGATCCTACCGCCGCTGCTGCTGCTGCTGGGTCGTTGATTCGTTGGAGGTTTCCGGTCGAGTTGGAGTCTACCCGTCGATACCCCAATATATAAATATCCCTCCATCCAATCCCAATATATATATATATATATATATATTATATACGTACAAATATCTGTTGCGCGAGGGTATCGAGGGCTCTGGACTGACTTCGCGTGGCAAAAAACGCTTCTTCGACAATCGCCACAAAGATATTCAGCACCACGTAAATAAACAGCGCAATGAACGTGTACAAGTACGCCTACCATGATTCCAATATATATTATCCCTGTTTCAAACAAATATATATATATTTATAGATGACATACCGCGCCCAGGAACGGAAAGTCCGTTTGAAGCGACGCAAACGTGTCGAGAATGACGTCGCCGTTGAGGATCGAAAAGAGGGTCACACACGCTTCCTGCGTGTCCACAACACGGTCGCGATGGATTTCCACGACAAAAAAGGGTACAACCATCCTACCTGAATTCCCCCAAAGCCCTGGACGCGGTACCCAAACACGATCGACCCAAACAAAGCATACCCGAAGAACACTGGCGATACCCCCACCTGTGACGAAAACTTTACAATCAATGCAAACGGCAGTAGAATCACGTACGAGGAACCCCAGGACCTTGGGCAAACTCCGTCCAAGCGTCAACACAATCGAGTAGAACCGACGGTTGGGCTCCAAATACCCCACAAATGTCGTCCACAGCAGCAAAGGTCCCTACGACGACCTGTGATACTACCCCCCCGTTTTGTCATATGGGTTTGACATACCAGGGCTTGGACGAAGCGGTGGCCAAAACTCAACGGGACATGCACCACCACGCTCGAGATGTTCCACAATGCATTGAACAGCACCAACACCAACGTCGCCATCACGAGGCCGTGGCTACAGACACGAGTACTAGTACCAACGTACTAGGCTAGCTGTAGCTAGCTAGTAATACTAGACTCGACATAGGGTGATGTATCGTACTGGAGGGTCAACACTCGACGTAGTAGTAGTAGTGGGAGCTGCGTCCATGGCACCCGTCTACTTGTCGTGGGGTTGGAGAAGCTACAGTGTGTGATAAAAACAAATATATCGTTATGGGATTTCTAGTACAAGGTTGATCAATCCTAGATGATACGGAATGAACCATTCCATACAATCTAATAAATAGATGCTATATATATATATATATATATATGTCATAGGATTCAGCGATCCAATAAATAAATGTTATATATATATATGGTATACGATACCTCGCAACAGCGCGGAGAAGACTTCGGCCCAGAAGGACAATGTATATGACAGTGAGACCCGCCACGACCAAGTTGAGCCAGAGGAAGCGGCCACGGAGGGTGGCCCACACATCGTTAACAGAACACACATCCAACGAGCACTCGTCCACGCGCATCCTATACAAATGTCAGTCTGCCATGCAAACGGACCTATAAATATCATCATTGGCAAATATATATATAATATATATATATAGATCACGGTAGTTGTCTCTTGAATATGTACAAATATGTGCTAGTATGTCCAAGGAGGTACTGGTCGATTCTGTCATTACATGATGGCGGATGTAGGACAACAGTACAAGACGATAGCAACATACTAGTACATACACCGCAAGCATTCGAATTCAACATACATTTAAATATATATATACATACATACATTTAAGTACATACATACATCTAAATATATACATAAATATATATACCTTTAAAACATATATATATATATATATATATATATATTCATACATACATTTAAATATATATATATATATATATATATATTTAGGGGAGAGGATAAAGTCTCGGTTACCGAAGGTGGCTGTTTTCGTGCATGGCCAGCGTCAGCCGCACGGTCCAGTCGAAACAGTCAAAGTAAAATGGACCGTAGTCGATATCTCGTAGCGGAAACGCGAAATCAATCGACACGATCGAGTGCAGAAAGGCCAGCGCGGCCGCCGATGTATGGAGGTCGTCGAACGGACCCAGCGACGTGGGCGTGATGTTGAACTCGCGGCGAGGAAGGATCGTCTTGTTCTGGTATTGGATCACCGACATGAGCATGGGCTGGACGACGGACGGGGAAGCGTAATGGTAATCGTACGTCGCCACGGACAGGTCCTTGATCGAAAAGTACGCGTCCCGCACGTGTGCCACCGCAAGCAATGTGTCGTTGACGGTAAATATCGACTCTTCCAACCTACGACACTCCTTGCATAAGATGCAACGAACAACGGGGTCGCGTGAGAACCGACGGGGTAGTGTCCATCGAGAAGCTTGATGTAGATGCACCGTTAGGAAGGAAGAAGTACGCCCTGTGAAAATCAACGAATAGCATCAACAACTGGAGAAAGGGCAGATTGAAGGACTACCAGTTGCGGTATGATGCACGGACGTAGGCGGAGTTTTGGTTGTCATAGAGCATGATCTACATGAAATATGAGCCATGGGACATTGTCGGAGCGCTGGACATACTTGCAACGTGCCGCAGAGCATGAGCAACACGTGCAATACCACTTTCCACGGAACGCGGCCGTGATACCAGTATTTCTCCCACGGGGACATTTTCACTTCATGCAGAAGCGACCCCATGATATCTTCCTTTCTTGCTTGTCCTGTTGAAGGCGACGGGTCGACCAGCGGCTCCAGAAGCGCATCACCATCGCCGTCGCCGCGCATGTTCTGCGAGTTTGGTCGCAAGATACCTGAAAATGGCGATTTTTGATCGTATCCGTACGAATCGTTCAACCGATTTTACCTAGTACATCAAGTTACGTTTTAGTCTAAAAACGCCCTTTCCATTTTGCTTTTGCGATGACGTTAAACTAGACCATTCCCTTATAACGCGTAAAACGGCAATCAATGTTGTGTGACGTTAAATGCGTTTTAATATGTACCTGTGGCCGTCAATGCAATCAATCACCTGGAAGCAAAAAGCACGATGGACGGCGACAACGCGGACATCACGCAGGACGAGACGAATGACATGGAGGTAGACACGACAACGACGGAGGCGGCGGTGGAAGTCCAAGATGAAGTGCCGCGAGAAGTGTCGATCGAGGACGCGGACATTGGAGCGCAGTTTGGCCGCGTGTTGAAGTGGACGGACCTAGGTATCCACCTCCACACGGACAAAGTGAACGCGGTGACGTTGACCCTGGACGCGTTGACGCAGCAAGAGTTGCAAGTGCATGTGCGTGCATTGATCGACGGGCACCCGTGGAGCTACGAGTTTCTCTGTGGAGGGCAGGGCAACACGGAAGCGAGTGTGCTCAAGCGCGGGGTCAAGGGCAAGGAAGTGGACGTCGCGTGCACATTCTGTGGCCGCATCTGTTCGGACACGACGGCAGGACACTACTGGTTCCACGTGTCCGTGCATCCCGAGTCAGGTCAAGAACGAAACGACGCCATCCAGATCTCCATGGGGGTAGGAAGTGTCGTCGGGGACAAGGCCGTGTTGGTCGGCAAGGACAGCATCCTTCCTCGATCGTCCAGCGTCGTGATCGAATCCATCGGCATTACAAGCGGTCGGTCCGCGCTCAAGTCTCGCAACGTGCTCTTGCGGTCGCATGTACAGCCCACTCCCGCCGTTGCTTCCGACACGATCTTGACTGTCATGAGTGACCCGTCCGGTACGGACCTGCTCACGGCCGACCAGCGCGCGTCGTTTGCCGCTGCATGCGAGAGCGCCCGCCGTCGCGCCGACCGTTTCGGCGGAACCTACATACCGCCGCCAGCCAAGCACTTTCTCGACTCCAAGGTGGTGCGCATGATGCAGCGTAGCGGCGCCGTGGCCGACAAAGGGTTCGCCACCGGCTTCGACGTCATGGCGGCGGACGAAGTGGCCAAGCGGGACGCGCGGCGCCACCGGTTCAACCTATCGATGGACTACGACACGAAGACGGCGCTCGCGATCTCGGATGGCGCGACCGAGGACGACGTCCGGCAGCATCAGGATCAACTCGCGCGGCGAGCGGCGCGGTCCGCCAAGTTTGGCAACATGGCGACATTGGATCTCGACGCGGCGTCGGCCAAGGTGGCGGCGGACCGGGTGGACATTGACATGACGCTCGAAGCGCGGCCAGATGCGCTGCACATGTATTCGCTCGACACCCAGTTCAGCAGGGTTCGAACCAAGGATATTTTGGCCTACTTTAAAGGGTACGGGCCGTCGTACGTGGAATGGACCAATGATTCAAGCTGTACGATTGTATTTCACGACTCATTTACAGTCACTCGGGCGTTGCTGGCGCTGACGTGGGAACTGCCGCCATCATCAGCGTCGACGGGGGTCCAAAGCCCCCTCATGGCACAAGAAGGGAAGGAAGAAGGGAAGGGATGGCGCGTCGGGCGAGAGATTGGCGCCGCGGATGACGAGGATATGGACCGACGGACGTGGCGGGTGCTCGTTCGCCGCGCAACTTTGCGCGACTTTCCGCCGGAAAAGACATGGAAACGACACCAGTACCACAAGTCGACCCATCGGCGCATGCAACGCCCAGTCGCCAACAAGCGCCGACGACTAGAAGACGACGAAGGTCCGGACAAGCGAGTGCGCGGCGGCGATGATGACACGATGGAGTGATCACGTGTACTAGTCTTAGTAGTACACCTTTTTGCGATTAATTTCAGCTTTTTTTCACTATATTTCTCGAAACTTGCAGAATATGTCACCAGACCACCGATATATATTTCGGTTATATCTTTAATTTCGTGGCGACCACGTCAAACGTCACGTTTATATTTCACCAAGCAGCCAGAGGTATAATTCGAACCAACTATCGTTTAATTTCACGTTTCGCCAATATATTTCACCCAGATTCATTTTGCCAAAAAATAAATACTAGTACTACAGATCGGCCATCCAGATATATAGTAAAACGTCTCCTCGTGGGAGACGTTTTACTATTAAACGCCTCGGTTCTTTCAGTGAAGCCCACGAATATTGTGCTTTTCACATATTTTGCCCGTTGTTTTAGCTCCTAAAACCATCCAAAGTTTAACCTAAACCGAAGTTGCACACGACGTAAAAGTAAGCTTCCCCACCGTTCTGTCATTGGCTGATCTAAAACTTGCGTTGTTTTACTAAAACTACTTCGTTTTATTAACTCCCATGGCCAAGCAGTCATGCAGAGTAATGACCTACTGGGGTAAGCTCGCAGTGCCGCGTGTATTAGTTAATCCACTCTGTAAACCCCCGCGTTTGCCGAAATGAAATGGGCAAACGCTTCAGGTTAGCAACATATGCTGCAGGAACAGCTCTTGCTCATCCAATCATAGGTACTTCCGATTAGCTAAAACTAAGTTGAATTAATCTAAAACTTCGTCACCCACTGGTTAAAAGCGGGTATTTATACCCAGATTAGCCAAAATATGTGAAAAGCACAATAAATCATTATTAGTTACGTTGTTTACCTGGTAATTAGGTTAAACGTCCTGAATAATCCAGATACAATGGAAACGTCCATATATTTCCATACACAAAGGGTGGTTGGTTTAAATTCTATTACTCGATGGAGTTTTCACCAATCGAAAATCTGAACCGTAACTTCTGTTGGTCTTGACCAGTTCTATCGTTATTACAGCATACTTCGAAGTATTTTCCTAAAAAATAGCAATACAAAGTTGGAATACTGTAGCTGTCGAAAGTCAAGGCATTTTTTTGTAGTCTTTAGATGACTTGCACCATAGTAGCTATGACTACAGTACACTCACTGTATGTACACCGACAAGTGCCAACTTGGCTTGCCGACACCGATGCATGTAATTTTTACTTGTTAGATCAATGACGTAACGTTAGAACACTGTTTGCGTACGGTCGAAGGTTACCAGACAGCAGATCCGCCGTGCATTGGACTCCTCTGACATATTCACAAGCGACGTCATCGAGAGGAGTCCAACGCACGGCGGATGTGCGCACAAGCGACAATATGACGACGTACGGTAGTAAAGGAATTTCTATGACACACAAGCATACAAGGGGCAGCGTCGATGCAGTACGGTGCGACAGGGGATTACCTCGTGTAGTACAAGACGTCGACGTTAGGCGGGGGTGGCTGCACCTTTCTGAACGAAAGGTGGAAGCCGACATAACCGTCAATCGAGAGTCAGCAGAGAACAATGACGGTCGAAATATATCGCCGGCTGAGTGAAATATATTGACGAAAAGTGAAATTAAGCGATAGTTTGTCGAATTATACCGCTGGCTTGGTGAAATATAAACGTGAATTTGAGGTGGTCGCCACGGAATTACTGTAAATGGAGATAACCGAAATATATAGTGAAAAGAAGCTGAAATTAACCGCAAATTTCATCACTACATCGATGAATATCCAGTCTTTGTTGAATGAATTATATATTTATATCTTATTCTTGACATGTGAGTACTATATATAAATGGTACTATGTAAGCTTAACAATATTGTTGTTGACACCTAAGCGGTTCTGGGGTTCCGCATATCGTTGAATGGACTGACTGTGGCGGCGGACGGTCGCGCGGCGTCGTCATAGCGGGCGTGGGTGGTCGTCATTCTGCGAGCAATCGTCGTCGGGGCATCTTGGTTTTGGGCCACTGGGGGCACACCGAACGCGGTAAGCTTTACAATACAGTACTTAATAAGCTCAACAATAGTACATAGTAACGTTAATATTACTAACGTCTTTCCTTCTCCGTCCAGCACTGTATGCATGTACTTATGGAATGCATGCTGGAGAACTTCACATTGTGCATTTAATCGCGGTGAACAGAAGTATGGCACTCTTAATTTCTGTCATATAAGTTTGGTTCAGCAAGTGTTTGTATGTGTGTACATGTAGTGGGCCACAATTAGTCTACGACAAGGGCTGTCGCCGCCAGGTCTACCTCCACCTTGCATTCCATGTGAGTTACGATCTAAATATGCGTTAAATCGATGGGTTTGCCCAAACGATCTGTTGAATGCAAATATAGCATCATTCCCATCAGTATATCGCCATATGTCTGGCGTATCGCAACACACACGAGGTGAACTTGGTGCGTGGTATTTTACGACATACAAAGTCGAAGATATTATTATATTCTTAATGTAGAGAAAGGGCACTCACGTTTCATTTTCAATGCAAAAAACACTGGCGCTCGGTTCTCCGCCGATTCTGATTGGCTGGTTCAATCTTCGTGGGATTTGCACGGCATTACGTTCGTCGCTGGACGTCATTCTTCATTTGACTCGGTGACATGCAGCTCAAATACATCGCCGTCCTCGTCGCCGCCGCGTTCGCCCAAGACGACTCGAGCACCGACGCACCCATCGCCGAAGCCACGTTCAAGCTGAAGCCCGGTGTCTGTAACGCCGCCGGTGCCGAATGCAAGAAGTTCGGCACTGGGTCCGACTACTCGTGCGTTGCCGTGCAGTCGTCCACGGCGTCGCTCAGCCAACTGTCGCAGTGCGTCAAGAAAGCTGACCTCACTGGCAGCAACATTTGCGTGAGCAAGCAAGCCGGAGTGTGCCCCACGTTTGCCAGCTGGCCGGCCGCGTACCGTCAAGTCCAACCCATCTGCGCGTTTGTGCCCGACCCCAAGTGCACGCGGGCGGTGACCGCGACCGGGGAAGTGGTGTCGGCTCGTCTGTTACAAGAAGGCAGCCCCACGACCACGAAGAAGGCAACAGTCGAGTGCTATCAGCAAGAAGTGCCGCTCACGAACGGAACCGTCGCGCGCGTGAACGGGTTCTACAAGTGCATTGACAAGGAACTGTACCGGCAAAAGAACTACGGCCTCGACCAAACCCAAAAGCAATTCAAAGCGTGCGCCGGCAACACGACCAACGGGTTCCAGAACGGACTCTGCAACGGCCACGGCACGTGCTCGCCCATCAACGCGTTCAGCTCCGAGTACGCATGCAAGTGCAACCGAGGGTATGACGAGAAGGACAACTGCAACGTACCCACAGGAAACGTATGCGATGGCCTCGGGCAGTGCGGCGCCTTGGGCGAGTGTGTGCCCGAGACTGGTTTGTGTCGGTGCAAACCTGGTTCTATGGGTGACCAGTGCTCCCTGTGTGACATCAAGTCCGAGTTGGCATGCAGCGGGCCCACCAGCGGTAAGTGCGGCCTCGGCGGCAAGTGCGTGTGCGCTCCCGGCATTGGCGGACCGCAATGCGAAATCAAGTCCGTGACTGAACCTCCGGCGAGAACCACAGGTGCCCCGGATGGCTCTTCCGCCGCGCCTTCGTCGGCTGTGGAGGCCGCCGTGTCGATGGCTGTGCTTGTGACTGCCGCCGCTGCCCTGTTTGCGTAGACGACAAAGAGTCGTGGTGTGATGGTGGTTCTAAAATCATATAGATGACACGTAGTAGTAGTAGGACTTCAACATATATAGTGTACCTCGGTCCTACTTGTATATTGGTCCCAGTGGAATAATATATAACTGTAAATATTAATAATTGTGTTATACAGACCAAACTGTATTGTATTTGATCGGACAGTTTGGTCAATTGTTTGGACAAAACGGATTATAAGGTTATTTCTGGTATATTTCGTCCAAAACTCAACTGATTCACCGTAATGTTCGATATATTTCGTCCAGACCCTATTAATGTACTGTACGTCGTAAATTATATTATTATGGTTTTGGTTCTTTATTACATCGTTGCAGTATATTTTGACAAATGTCCTGTTTATTTCACACGTTGATCAATATATTTCCAATGATTTTCGATTTTAGATGCAAATTCAGTAAATCAGGTTTTTTGTGGTGGATAGCGTTTTGAACTGTCTAATTCATAGATATAAGTCGATGTGAATCCTCTACAACCTTATATCTTGTAGTTCGAGTTGTTCTACGGTCTTGCCAAAACCTTGGGTGACATGGAAGTTAGAGCCTGGTGAAATATACCGAAAATAACCTGAACTTACATGTTGCACGAAACATGGTGTAACGTTACAGTTATTAATAGAAGTATAATATTTCCTTATATTCATGTTCCAGAGTAGTACTGTACTAGTACTAGTAGTACAACAGTGCTACACCATTTAACAGTAAAGTTGGACGAATGCCCGATAAATTAGGCTGTGTGCCCGATGAAAATGGCCGTGTGCCCAAGCAATTGCCCATCTGCCCGAAGAATTTTGTCGTGTGCCCGATGAAAATGGCAATAAAAAGTCAATTCAATATAGAAATCGTCGTTAAACGACACATGCAGCATCGTTGCTGGAGGCTGCGGGAAATGACAAACATAGCAATCCTCGGCGACATAAGCGAGGATAAATGTATGTCTAGACGAAGGAGTCGAGTTTTGGGTCAAGGCAACCTTGTATTCGATTGCGCTGTTCAAAACGTATACTTGAGGTACGTAGTATGTATGGACTTCAAATTTTGGCCGCCAGTTACGATGATTTTTGGAAAAGTATCCAACTGCATTCCACGAGAATACCGTTACGTATTTTTAATATAAAATAAGCACTATGCCATAATTTGAAAAGATAACATCGAAATATCATGTTAACATAACTTAACATCAATGTTTGTCATAATTTATGACAATGTTAACTATCGAGAAAGTACTTGACTTTGTCGTTGAATTGCTCAGCAACGGCTTGTCTGGGCGTGATACATTTAATATGAAAACTGAAGAAATGGCTGCGGGCTATATAAAGAGACGTGATGTGTGGCGATTGCACTTATTGTTAGCATGCGTGATTTACAGTTAATTAAATTAAAATGCGTCATGACATTCAGGTATAATAAGTATAATATTTTGTAATTAATATTCTATGCATACAAAACTAAGATATCACGACCGTTCGTGAAATAAATTTTGACGTTTGACATTTTAGTGCACAAAAAGCGTTCGCGATATTAGACAGATACGGAAATTTTAATGCACGGGAAATATATGGCAGCACCAACTCATGATTCCGACAAACCTTATTTGTATTTACCACATCTGCATGAGGAACATATCCGTATACTTGCATGTGTGGTGGCGAATGCACACTCCCTGTTGATGCTTTGCATCAGCTTACTCATATGACCCCATTTCCACAACTGGCATCACAAAGGGGTCTTGTCATACACCTCATGGGTCCACAACTTCACTCTGATATCGGTACAGTATTTACGTGCCACGTTGAGCAAGGGAGTTGGGTTACGAACCGCTTGGTGGTTTTGGTTCATCAATGGAGGGGCGCAACTGCGTAGCGCGACTATGTCCACTTAAGTGCACATGCGGATAAGAATTGTGAGTTTTGTGTACGCTTCATGCGCCTACAAGCGAAGCTAGCACCGAAGCCCCGTATTCAAATCGTAGGAGTGTGGGCAGGAAGGACCAAGGCAATTACGCCGACTGGTGGAGAAGGTTCAGGATAACTGGCTGAATGAATAAGACAAGATAAGATGCACGTAATCGCTCCATCTGAACTCTTGGAATGGCCTTCCTTAGCGTGGAAGAGGCTGGACACGAGGCCACGTCGGGTTACGCTGCAGCATGGACGGGCGAAGAAGTGTGCGAATGGTTGAATCCACAATTTACGACCACTAGCGGTGATCTAGAGGAGATGGTGGGGTGACAAATGGGCGTCCCACAGTGCCCGTAAACTGGATAACGTAGGGCACCAGGCATCGGCAAAGACACCAGTCATCGGCACTGTTCTAAGCCAATAGAAATGCCTGAATAACTCTTATTGGTCAAAATGTAGTTCTTCAAAAATTAGTGCCCCTTATAAATTAGAGGTTGGACCTGTCAATTTTGTGTTGATCATACAGAAATCGTTACTGTAGCAGTTAATACCCATTCTAAACACATATTCCTTTGATATCTAATATGATGACAGCATCCCGCGAACTAGAGCGTGGAGGATTCAATACATTACACAAGTCTAAAACGTGTGCCGATGACTGGTGCCCTACAAAAAACGCTACTTTTGAAAATCCTTACTGCACGTGTTTACTATTAAAATTGATATCCTTTAAACCTCAATTCATGAGCTGAATCTTGCGGTTATTTTGATATTTGAATCACCTCAATATGTGTTGTAGTCAACGAGAAATGGACGAACAAAGTAAGCAATGAACGATGCTGATGACTGGTGCCCCACGTTAAATTTTAAGGAGGTATATTCACGGCAAATGCATGGGAACGTGTACTGAAATCTGTCTATTGATGGTTTACCTTACGGTATGCACTACTTACTACTATACACAAATGGAATTAAAACGCAAACGACATTGCGATCGCGACGGTGACCACTGCAGCCGTGGACACCGCTAGGTTGGCAGCACTGGTATCGGAGTCTTCCGTGGTGCTGTCGTCGAGGACAGGTCTGGACCTAGTTTCGCATTGTAGCCCTTCAAAGCCGACATTGCACTGGCACGTGCCACCGACGTCGCAGCTGCCTCGGTTCGTACAGACGGATTCAGCAGGAGCGGTGGGATCGCACTTGGAGCACTGGTTGCCCATGGACCCAGGCTTGCACACGCATTTGCCTGACTTGGGGTCGCACGCGCCGTTGCTGCCGCACTGTCCGAACGCGTCACACACATTGCCGACAGCAACAAAGCAATTATCGTTCGCGGAGTAGCCGGCATTGCAGATACAGCCATACTCGCCACTGAGACTGGATTTGGGAGCACAAGTGCCATGGGCATTGCACAGACCGAGGCTGACGCGCACGCCGTTGTTATTGGTCGTGACGTTGCCCGCGCACGCCCGGAGTTGCTTCTCCGTAAGGTCGAGGAACCCCATGTTCTTTTCGCGGTACAGCTTTTGGTCGACACACTTGTAGATCCCGTTCACTTTCTTGGTATGGCTCGAGTTGGTCGCGCTTACAAACGTGGCGCCAAAGCAAGACACGGTCTTATCGTTCACCGTCACCGACGACGTGCCGTCGGCATTCATCGCGTTGTCGCAGTTGGGTACTTCAGAAAACGCACACACGGGTTGGACCCTGCGGATGCTGGCAGGCCAGTTCGTAAACGTCGGACACCGCCCATTCAAGTTGCCACCGCACGCGTTGCCCCGGACGCATTGGGATAGCAGGGTTGCGCCGATCACTTTGGACTCCACCGCCACGCAAGAGTACCCTTGACCATACTTGGCACAGTCGGCTGACGCGCCCGTGCCTTTGCAAATACCAGGACGACTCGAGATCACCGCCGGTGCAGTAGTTTCGTCCGTGGTTTGAGCCACGACGACAGAGGCAATGGCGGCTGCGGCCACACTCACAATGGAACGGATTTGCATCGGATCGTGGGTGTATATGATGTACTGCTGTTGCTGCTTGCTGATACTAAGCTTATATGGCCAGTAAATGTGAAAGTGACCAAGCTTGTACTGACCAAGTCTCGTCATGCGACGCATGGATGGGCATGTTTTTCTCATAGGGGTGCGTGCATAATCGAGTAAATCCTTTTGAAAAGTGTATCATTGCGACATGGCAGCGTTCTGCGCGAGACTGTATTTTCACTGTAACGCAGAGAATGGTACCAACTCTTTGTTGACCAAGTGAAACATGCGACAAAGTAAGGAACATCGGATTCAACCAATCAACCACCTTGAAGTTTGCGTTTGTTCTCCTTCATCCTGTCTCGTAGTACTGTACATTCGCAATGATCATTAGTACTACGTAGTACTTGAGCAGTTGGCTCTATAAATACATATCCTGTTGGGGTTACATACATCCCTGATAGAATTTTATACCCTAACCACAAAATACAAGAATACTACGATCAAGCTTAAATTTTGTTCCTTTACAGTCTCTTGAAATGCTTCGCTTGGGAAATGGGACATTAGTGGACATGATAGATATTGTGAAAATCGATGATTCAATGTTCCTCTTGAGTATCAGTTTTCAAAAGTCGAAGTCATTCCTCCGTGCCGCTGAGCTGCTTCCATTTCACGGCAGCGATCTCAAATATATGGCTCTTAAATTGGAACTCTACCATAATTTCAGGACAGGTGATGTCCCTGCTACAATGTTCGGTCGACAATATGGGTCAATGAGCTGAAGATCTGTCGACTACAGTAAGCAGAACACCCCCTCCGTAATGGTCGATAATGCACTTCACAGTCAAAACAGTGTGACTGGTAGCTGAAGTCCACCTCGGGGCTGTAAAAATGATAATCCAAACTCAATTAACCACCTCGGGGCTGTAACGTTGTTTTCTATCGGTTTTACATTAACAACGGATTTTATCTGTTTTCAAACATTTGATTGGCTAACGTCATTTTATTACATTGGCAAGCTCATTGGCCAAATAAATTGCATACGAGGTACTATGGAGTACTACAGTAGTACTATTAATTGAGTATCTGCGAAGCACGAGTATTTCCAGCTACTGTAAGTTACCGTAAGTACCATGTACTGTACTGATTTCCCCTGACTTTTAAACGGGGCAAAATCTATAATTTTTATAATCTTATATTTATTAACTTACACAGAACGTTTTGAAAATTCAAATGCTACGAGTGCAAGGCATCAATACTGTAGCATTGTGTTATTCTGAAACATGAAGGTGCGCATGTCCTTGGTTGACAAGCATGAGTTGTGTGCTGAGCATACTCGTCGCCCAGAAGCGACGTACTCTGAGCTGGCGGCATGGGCGGCGAACACATTTGCACTCGTTTCCACTCCAACAAAAGCTACAATTGGGAATGTAATAAAACGACATCCAATCTGCAAAACCTAGCGGACAACACATTTCGTTTGATTAACCGAGAATGAAGCCCTCAAATGGGTACTACGCTGTGAGGAACTGGGCATAATTGCCTCTTTCAAGGCAAAGGTGAAACAACGGCAGCTTCAAAACGCCCTGGATCAAATTCAAGAAGTTATGGAAGAACGTCAAGATCGGTTGTACGAAGTACCTCTCGTCGTTGCAATGGGTTGGGCGAAGGAATCATGGTGCGCAGTATCGCCATCGACGGTGACCAACTGCTGGAATCGTACGGGCCTACTTGATAGTGACTTGGCTGCCTTTAGTGGGCATGTGGCTGCAATGAGTGTCGAATAGGAGTTCATTTTTACTGGTTGTCATGGGTTATAGCAATAATTAATACCTTCAAAAGATTATATACTGTTGAATATGTATAATGTTGGCCGTTTAAAAGTTGGAGGGAAATCAGTATAACAAACATACATAAGAGCGTCACCACACATAAGGCACATAAGGGCATAAGAGCGTCACCAACGGCAAATTCTAACCTATTGTTAATGCATAGGTTAAAGTCAAACTTCGTTTTTACGGTTGCTATTTTGGCACTATCCGGATATTTTAGAAATTACACCCCGAAGAAATTCTATTTTCGCGTGAAATAGCAACAAACCCTCCGGATAGTGCAAGAGTTTCTATTCTATATTCGTTGCCCTAAGTGTAGTGGTGTACCACGTATTAACCCGCTCGAATGGTTAATACAGTAACGTTAACAGATCTAAAAAGTCCGGATAGTGCCAAAATAGCAACCGTAAAAACGAAGTTTCACTTTAACCTATGCTTTAATAGGTTAGAATAGGGAGATTTCGCAATTCAATCCGTGGTCGCGTCCGTGAGAAAAATGACTCGGACACACGACCACGGATTAACAGTAAATTTAGTCGATTTCGTTGTATAAATAGATTTCCGCGTCCGGAATAAACATAAGGAATCTGCTACTTGCAATAATGCTGTCGTCAAGCGTTCTTGCTTCGCGAGGCCTGCCCGTCATCGAAGACTTCTGCTCGCACATACCTAGCGTCGGTCAACACCATCCAAATACACAGAATCCCTTCGGAACTTTTCGTGGTTGTCGAGGATCAGGTGGAACCTCTGCAATGTTTTCTTGCCGTCGACTTCGAGCTCGTGGCAAGAGAAGCCACGAACTTTAAGCAAGTTGCACGCGAGCACCCCCCAAGACTTCATGACTCGAGTGGTTGGCCTTTATCCACAGCGCCAAGCCATCCTGGCTTCTCAACCTGCTCATACTGTAGCACACGAAACCACCGAATTGAACCCTCCTGTTCGGATAACCTCGATTTCTTATGATTATCCGAATCCGTGATTGCTGCTCGTTTCACGGATTCCGCTATAAACTTTCACGAGTTTCCGTGATTGTACTAATTACTGAGGGTAATTATTATGGTAACGGATTACTTTGCGAAATCTCCCTAATTTACCGTTGGAGATGCTCTAAGACTGGTAAGAGCATCTCCAACCGCGTTTTTACAGTATTTCTATTTGAATTTGAATTTACGGATATAGAATAGAAAATCTTGCTCTATCCGGAGGGTTTTTTGCTACTAACGATACTTAGTATAATATTTCACGCGAAAATAGAAGTTCTGTGGGGACGAAATTTCAAAAAGTCTGGGTACAAGTGTAGTGCCAAAATACGTAGCAACCGTAAAAACGAAGTTTGACTTTAACCTATGCTTTAGCAATATAATCAATAGGTTAGAATACTTTTGGAGATGCTCTTAGGTCATCCCCAACGGTAAATTCTACCCTAAGGGCATCCCCAATGGTGCGACGGTAAACGCTATTTTACCGTTTTTGGGGTCAAATATGCAGTTTTGGCAACCTCAATGGTGCGACGGTATCTACCGGAAACGGCATATTTTTACCGCGAGACGGCAAATCGGCCATTTTTACCGTTTTGTGACCACCCGACGGTAAAATACCGGAGCCAATTATAAACCACAAAGCATCAACTTTCCACCAATAAAACGCATGTATTTGAGCATGGACATTTCCAAACCAATACTGACACTGCTGGAATGGCTCTCAACGGGCGGGGTGCGAACTTCACCACCGATGAGGACTGCCAGATAGTTCGTTCGTGGTTGAACATATCCCAAGATGAGTCTAAGGGGAGCGGGCATAAGGCCGAGCAGTTTTGGGCCCGCGTGGGGGCGACTATTGCACCTATTGCGATCCGGACTGCCATCGCACAGTACGATCCTTAGCTACTTGGTGGAGCTACATACTGGAGTAATGCAATAAGTTTGTTGCGTGTTCATTATGGTCTCGTTTAACGTGCGGTCTTGGCCCCGGTGTTTGGTGTGGTCCGTTACTCATGCTTAGCATCTCCCAAACGTCGTCCATGTCCTCGTCCATGCCTCGATGGTATTGCACAATGTTGACGCCAAGCTTCCATATCTGGAAGTGACAGTTATGCGGATTTTATACCGTTTTACCGTTGGGGTTGCGCAAAAGTAAAATACAGTGACGGTAAACGTCAAAATAGAGTCTGATTATACCGTCGCACCATTGGGGATGCCCTAACGTTATCCGGGCATTTTAGAAATTATACGTCCCGCTGTTTTCGCGTCAAATAGCAACAAACCCTCCAGGATAGTACAAGAGTTTCTATCCTATATGGTGCACGTCATCTAAAAACTTCGAACTGGCCAAATCGAAGAGTGGGGTTTTTATTATTTAACGTACAATTAATGTAGTTAAACCCAAAATCTAAATACGTTAAATAGCGATTTCATGCGTTTTATCACTGCAATGGGAGGTTAGAGATCCCAACTGCCTCCGGATATTATATACGGATAAGAGTCAAATATAAAAAGCAAGATACATCTCAGCGGCCATGCTTTCCGGAATAACTCAGACATGGATGGGCCGTTCATGCCTGGCACTGATTTTCATAAAAGACGAAAAACCACTTATCACAGAAGAGAGCTTAGATGAGAAGCGACACGGACCAATATCCAAGCGCCCATGTAAATTACCGCTAGGTTAAATATCTATTTCTGGACCAATTCATCCGGTACATACTCTAGAATATACTATTAATACTACTAGTGGTACTATTAGTAGTAGAGTGTTGGAGCACCATCATTCCACAATATCGAATGGGTTTATCCGGATGGTACGATGATTTTCTCGACTCGCGATCTTAGCTCTATTCTTGAAGATCAATTGCTGATGCAACAATCATCCGAGCTGTCGCTAGTACCGTCCATGCGCCGGCGTGGGTCGCGTGAGAACGAGCGAATTTTCGCCAATGTACAGGTCCAAGTGCATGTCGAACCGCCAATGCGCCGCAAGAAGCGATCCCTTACGGTGAACATTGAAGTCGACGATTTGTCCGCAACCTCGGACGCGGAGGACGCATGGTGGAAGGTCGAGTACACGTTGCCACCGTCAGGGCACTTAGGTGCACATCAAACGATCCAACCAAAGAGCAAAGATGACGAAGCATGTCATCGCGCGTTGTTTGAGTCCACGCACAGCGGCATTTCCATCGGTTCGAGCGCGATCTCGATAGCTGTACCAGCAACTACCTGCAGTGCTGCAAGCGACGAGTACGCTCCCGCGTACCCGTCCAAGAAGCGACGATTGTCCCCAGATCATGCCCACGGGAAGACATCGTCGGATCAGCGGCCGCGGCGCCACCACTTCCAGCGCATGATCGAAACCCTCGAGCCGGAAGATTGCAACATTCTATTTTACACGATGTGAAAGACTTACACTATTTTATGATGGATCGTAATACTGTACGAAAAGACTATTAATATGAAGTACTGCATATACTATTTAAATACTAACACTATATAAAGGGGACCTCATGAGCCGTGTACACTATTTCCACCCTTCCGCCGTTTCAAAAACCATAGAAATGACGGTCGAGGTCGACACGGCGGCGGCGGCCTCGTACCAGGACTGGTCTGCCGCGAGTGTGTTTGGGTCCACCAATGCGCCACCTCCATTACATGCAATGTCTCCATCTACTCCATCGCAGCGTCCACATCGAACTATGTGTGACACGTCGACTCCTCCACACTCCACCGCACCTTGCATCATGCGATGTCCGACGCCGCCACCCCGGCGTGTGATTCCTCACGCGTCTCCACGACTTCCCCCGACGCACCACACGAGCGTGGTCATTGCCGCCGCGGCGATCCTGATCCAACGCAGCATGCGGCTCGGGTTCTTTCGAAGAAAGGCCGACCAATTCGCTGCCCAAGTAGACGGCATGACGCATACCCTGCAGGACATGGCGGTGCGCACGATGCAATCGAGCTTTAGACGACACAGAGACAAGTCCAAGCGACAAAAGAGGATAACGTTAGATGCAAGTCGGTCCCGAGTGGGGGCGTGGATGGTTGGAAGGTGGCGGCGGAAACAGTTCCTCCATGCACTTGAGCTGCGACGAAAGGAGCAGGATGACGAGAAGCATGCAGCGGCGCGACGTGTCCAGCGGTGGTGGCGACGGCACCACTTCCATCATCACCGTCAGACGATCGCGGCAACCAAAATCCAATGCAAAGTCCGTGGACACGCGGTGCGGCGACAGCGCGTCGTCGTGCAAAGTTGCCGACATGGAGCTGTAAAGGTGATGATCCAGATTTGGGCGGCTCATCAGTTGCACAGGGGATTCAGTCGTTTGAGCCATTATATGGAGCGAGAACGAACGCGACAACGTGATGCGGCATGCTTGAATATCCAGCGTCTCTTCCGCGGGTTTCATGGTCGCCGTATAGCGCAGGAAGTACGTCGGCGGCGGTTCCAGTGTTCAAACTGCGGACTAGTTGAGCCAGGAGGATGCTACTGCAAGGGATGTGGACGACCAAAAGGCAAAGGAGGAACGACCAAGACGCGCAAGGCGATGTCATCTGTGGTACCTGAATGTGCAAGTAGTCCTCGGCTCAGCTTAGCACCGGTGGCCGGACTCGGCTTTCGCACCACGGTGCTGCCGTTGCGGCCAGAAAGAACGACGACGTCGATGGTAGTAGTGGACAGTACCAAGCGGCGCGCAGAAGTGATTGACGTCAAGGAGCGGCTTCGAGGTGACAAGGCGAAGAGAATGATGCAGAGGCGGCTCCTTCAGAGCAACCAGTACCTCCATCAAGGGAGTGCCGCGCCTGGTTCCCAGAAAGGTTGTGACTAAAGCGGTCATATTATCTTGGATATGGAGCTAAAATGATATTTTGGATACTTTTTCTGTGCCCCCTTCAACTTGCTTTCGAACGGCCACAACAAGTTGAAGTGCCACCTCAGTAGCACTAAAGCCTCGAAATTCCTTACAATTTACAAGATATTTATTTCCAACGGTAGAAATCCGATCCTTCCGAACGGCCGACGAGTCGTGTCCTATGTCATTGTTGCATTTGTCCATTTTCAGACTCGTGTGGTAGTAGTCCATGTTGAGGCTTGTCCTTATCGCCGCTGTGGCCGTGACCGTCGTTGAAGCATGCACAGTGATCGTCGCTGGTAGGAACGCCACAGTGGACGGATCGGTGCTCGTCGCCCACACGGAAGACACAGGCCTTGGGGCAATGGACCTGCGCTTGGTTCGCGTGCCAGCAATGGACCACGCACACGGGTCCACGCGAAGCATCTACTCATACGCGCGTCCAGGGTACCCCCGCATCGTGTCCAATGAGCGGGGTGACTGGTACAAGCCTGTGAACGACCAGCAGGCGCTGTCCACGCCGCTCGGCCACATTCCCCAAGTCAAGCACACGTATGCGTATTTCGACCAAGACTACGCCCTCATCAACGAAAAGCAACTGGGCATGGGGGAGAGTTCGTGCGGGGCCAAGACCGTGGGATGGGCACTGGGGCAACCCGGGGGAAAGAACTTGTTCAGCATCAACGAGCTCACGAAAGTCGCGCTCGAGCGGTGCGACAATGCGCAGTGCGCTGTGAAAACCATGGGCGATCTCGCGGTCGAGTACGGGTTCTACAACGACTTCAACGGGAACATCACGCATCCCGTGTACATGAGCTCCGGGGAGGCCTTGGCAATCGGGGACAAGTACGGCGAAGCATGGGTGTTCCATGTGCTTACCGGTCCGGGCAACGGCAGCGCCGTGTGGGCCGCCCAACGTATTGCTGACGACCACGTGTCGGTCATCGCGAACGGGTTTGTGATCCGGGAGATGGACCTCTCCGACTCGTCCCGCTTCCTCGCGTCCACGAACGTGCACACGTTTGCGCGGGACATGGGCTGGTGGGACCCCGACATCGACGGGCCGTTCGACTTTACCGCTGCGTACGGGTACTCCAAGGAAGGTCCGTTGCTTCCTCTTTACGTCGGACGCCGCGTGTGGCGGGTCATGGACGTGGTGGCGCCGTCGCTGAAGCTGCAACCCGAATGGGGCTTTTACCCGACAGTGGCCACGTACCCGGTATCCGTCCGTCCGGATCGGTTGATTTCGGTAACAGACGTCTTCAACCTGTTACGAGATCATTTCGAAGGCACGCCATTTGATTTGACCCAAGGAATCGCCGCAGGTCCATGGGGCAATCCGAACCGCAACGGCGGGACCACATATGGCGTCGGCGGCGGCTGGGAGCGCGCCATCTCGCTGGAGCGCACGGTGTACAGCTTTGTCCACCAAGCGTCTCGAACACCCGTAGCGGACGCTATTGGTGGCGTCATGTGGTACGGGTTGTCGTCGCCACATGGATCCGTGTACGTGCCGTTCTCGTGCGCGCAGTCGACGGTGCCGCCCTCGTATACGAGTGTCCGGCAGAGCCAGTTCAGTCGCGAGTCGGCGTGGTGGGCGTTCAATTTTGTCAACAACTGGCTCACGCTGCGGTACAACGTCATGTACCCCGAGGTGTGGGCTGCCGTGACCAAGATGCAAGCCGACGCCATCGAGCGGTACGAGACGTCCCGAAAGTATATTGTTTCGAACACCACCAGTGTTTCGGACGCGGTCGCGTACGTGGAACAAGCACACAACGCGTTTGCTACTGACGTAGTGAACGCGTGGTGGACATTGGGCGACCACCTTATGAGCAAGTACAGCGGCGGCGCCGTCGTCACGGGCGAAGACGCAGCCAATCAGATCACAACGCCATACCCCAAGTGGTGGATTCAGCTGACGCAGTTTTCAAGCTGGCCGGGTAAGTCGCTGCATGTGCCCGTATCCCTTCGAAGTTGGCAGCATGACACGTCCAGCGTGGGAGTGACGGGGGTATCCGTCGCCCTCATGGGTATCTCGGTCACGGGGCTCGTGGCCATGGGTGCCATTCTGTATGGGCACCGGCGGCAGCGGCAGTATCGCCAGCTGGCATGAGAATATGGAAGATTTGAGGCATCAACGAATCCAAGGACGACGATAGACACTTCGTAAATGTGAAAATAGACATTTCGTGACTGTCGAAGAGTTGGATGAAAAATTGGTAAATAATTGACCGTTTTCGTTGATATTTTTAATGACCATGCGTCGTCCGGTTAATCCCTGCCGGATAGTAGCATCAATCCATCATTACTGTACGATGGCGACCCCATCCCCCCCGCCGCCGCTGCCGATGTCGTCGCCAAAGTCTCGGTTTGAAGACTCGCTGACGTTGGAAGGTCTGCGGGAAAAGATCGAGCACTTTGCCGACGATCGAGACTGGCACAAGGTAGGTACTTACGTGGAGTGTCGACGGTGCTTGACCTAGGATGCTGGATGACGTGAGACCAGTAACTTGTGTATGTAGTTCCACACACCACGCAACTTGTTGTTGGCAATGACAGGGGAAGTGGGCGAAGTATGTGAGTGCTTTCAGTGGCGCGGCGACGACGGACAAGACGTCGATGGTGCGTAGACCTGCTGCTGGGAGTTGGAAATCCGTACAAGGGGAGTACATGTGTATGACGTAGGGTGGAGCGCCGAAGACAAGGAGCATCTGGGCGAAGAATTGAGCGATGTCCTCATCTACCTCGTTCGGTTGGCAGGTCAGACTCCATCCCGTATAACGTGACTTCCCATGCTTAACCGCGTGTACAGATCGGTGCAACATCGACTTGGCCACGGCGGCTCTGCGCAAGATGGACAAGAACGCCATCAAGTACCCCGCTAACCTCGTACGCGTTTCGTTTACCATCAAAGGGGTTAACCTACTCCAAATATCACCATATAGGCTAAAGGCAGCTCGCAAAAGTATACTGCTTACGAATAGGACCAGGATCCGAACAAGAGTTCATACCCCATGAAGTTCTCTGTAGTAAATGATCAATTGATACTAGTACTACTATTAATTATATACTATTAACAGAACAGTACGTATTAATAGTAAGAACTTACTACTACTATTACTACGTATTAAAATGCGTAGTACTTCGACGTATTATTTACTGTGAAAAAGGGAGGTGCTACAACACATTATTTTTAGGATACGCATTTTAAACTTCGTCTATGTATACCGCATATATGCGTCGCCTGTACGTGTTTAGGGGAATTTGTGGATTCAGTGTTTCTGATTGGCTGCTAATTTGTGGATTCAGCGTTTCTGATTGGCTGTTTGTCGTATGCTCTATAATTTGACCAATGTATTATCATAAGTGTATACGGTAGTAACTTCGAAGTACGTTCAGTCAATATCGAAAATCCAATGTTAAAAACTTCGTCCCGCCTACGCTTCTTGGGCATTGCCGTCGCTCCCTCGTCCACAACATGCTCGTTCCGAGTCCTTGCTGCTTCGTCGGGCGTATCGTCGGAGGAGGTCGCCTCTCTTTTGCGCATCCACCGAATCGGACTTGAGCGGCACCTGGTACCCCGTCTGGCCTCGCATGGGTTCGACCTTGACTTCTCCGAGGAGTTCCGGGCACGGCATCGCGCCTTCGCCAATCTTGGCGCACACGTCCAGCAAGTCAAACGCGATCGACGACGTGACCACCGAGTCATGGGCGTACTCGGGATGACACTGGACAAACCTTCGCATCCACGTGGCAGCCGTGGGGAGCTCTCCCGTCGCGCGCTTGGCGATCAGGTTCAAGTATCGATCCACGACCCTTCTCGTCACGTCGTCGCATTCAATATGATCCAAGTATGCATGTACTAGGGGGAGAAGCCCCGGGTAGTACGATCCTTTGCCGAGCAGAATCTCGGCGATGGTCATCGGTTCAAAGCTCTCGCTGCCGTGGACACACTGGCCATGCGTCGCGTCCTTGTTGTCGCATTGGACATGGCATCCCGCGGTGTGGCACTCGGCGGCATCTGGCGGCGCCAAGTGGCGGCGAAAGAAGAACGTTTCGTCCACGGCGGCGTTCACGCGATGCGCAATCTCCATGTTTGCGTTTACTTTGGACAACGGAACATACAAATTCAAGTCAAACGTGAGGATCACACGACTCACGAGCGCGATAAACACGCTAAACGCGGCATTTTCAAAGTCCGTGAGCTGGATTTCCATGGATCGAAACTCGGTGCGCCATCCAATGTGGCCATTGCCGCCGTCCGAGGATGGCGAAGATGGCGGCGATGATGATGGCGGCGGCAACGGCGGCGGCTTCCACCGCACCGTCTGCCAATTCGTCGACTGGATGTTTTCAAAGTGGTCGGTCGCGAGCTTGTTGTCAACATGCAGCCGCTGCTCATAGATCACGAGCGGGTCTCGGATAAACAGATGAGCAATGTGTTTGGCGAGGATATCGTCGACACCGTTCGCGCGCAGTGTCGCATACGAGTCTTCGTCAAATGGAATGTCCACATCATTGTACTGGTCCAGCGATGACGTCATGTCCTCGCCATGCTTGTGGTTGCAAATGAAGGCGGAAATCCCTTCATATCGGGACTTGGGCAGCCGCTTGATGCCGCCGCCCGCCATCTTGGCGTACGTGGGCGGCGGCGGCGACGAGGCAAAGCCCATCTCGTGTGGCGTCCGATCGTCGACGGATGCCGCGATCGTAGCCCACCGGACGTCCGTGTCGGCGAGCCGACCCTTCAAGATGGGCGTGGCCGCCGTGAGCGCGAGCATGATCGGACTGAGCACGCCCAGGTGGTCGTATAGATGCCGCGACTCGCCAATGTTCTTGGCCTGGAATGTTACTTGGAGGCAGCACATGCCCATACCAAACGCCATCGCATCCATGTGGATAAACCCGGGATGCGGCTCAATGTGATCCAGCGGCTTGGATTTGGTCGAGAACGACGTGCCATGCCGACGTTTCGTGGCAAGGGGGCACGGGGTGCACGGAGGTGGCGACGACGGCGGCTTGCGCGGGTGATCGTCGTCCACTGGCGGCAGCAGCGCTGGCCGCGCATGTTCCGCGACCCACGCCGCCTCGTCTTCGAGCATTTCGTGCGTGAAAGCGTCCTTGAACAATGGCACGCGGATGTCGATCGTGCGCATGCGACGCTTGCGGATGTTGGCTGTGAGCGCGCCAAAGCGAGGATGCGGGTTGATGATGGCGTCGCTGATGTACTCCGACGCGGCGATGGGGCCGCGGGAAAATGTCGGCGGCACGGTAAAGTCGTTGCCGACCCCGAGCAACGGGAACGACGTGACGGTGGGACAAATCTCGTTGTCATGCAGCACGGACAGCAGGCGCGCGCGGCGCAGACGCATGCTGGGCTCGACGCGGCGAAGGTCGGACGAAAACCCACCGTACGGCGTGCTCGGCGTCGCTTCCACCATCCACGCGCCGTACTCGGGGACCCAGTTGCACCCTTCTTCGACGTGGTCTTCGCGGTGGAATTTCTTCTCCTTCTCTAGCAGTTCTTGCAAGATCTCTGTCGCGCGCAGCGACAATTTGGCGGTCTTGGTCTCGTCGTCCAACACGAAGATGCCGTACTCGAGCTCGTCACCCCACTTGAGCACGTCCCCGCTGATGTCCTTCACACGGTGGTACGTCTCCAGGAATTGCAGGATCCCGTTGTGGCGCACATGGTTGAGCCATTCCAGCGCATCTTCCCATGGCAGCGGCGTGCCGGCCACAAGAAACCCCATCCCGTTGGCTTGGGATCGAGAAGCGGTTTTCAGGACTGACCGCACAAATTCAGAAGTATCAATGGATAGGCCGTTGAGTATTTAATTCACTTGTAGTTTGTATACCGAACAATAAAATGCTACTGCGAGCGATCTGATTGGTTGATTCCCTGATGACTGTATGCGAATGTTGGCCCAATCATACTACGTAGTACACTGTAGTACTGTACTAGTACAGTTCACAACATGGCGGTAGGATGGTGTGCGTGGATGGGTGGATGATGGGAAGGGAAGCAAGCGCCAAGGAATGATGCGTGACACAGGCATCATTGCATCTCCGTAAGTTCATTCTAGCTGCGAAGCGAAGCTACCGGTATGCAGGTCCCGATAGTATCGAGCGACAAGGTTTCGTAAGGTTGTTCCAGCACGAGAATGTCGTCGACAGCGGCTAAACAACCTTCTGGGCCAGCATTCTGCTACGTTCCTGCAGTTCTCTCTTCTCCTGCGAGATTCCATTGTTTTCCCATCGATGAAGCCAGGGTGTGTGGCGCTGGCTAGCCACGTCATGGGCTGAATCTTAGTAATCCACCAGCAGTCTCTACAGGTACAGTATTACAGGTACATGCATGAAATCAAGAGCGACGACTGAACTTGATGTTCAATCTACACCATTCGATTCATCACGCCTTGCGCTGCGCACAACAACCCTCTTTGAGCCTGTGGCTCTAACGTCCGTTGGGTAGCTCACCTGGGCGCCGCAGTTCCTAGAGAGAATAAGAGTTGAAGGTCCAGTTCTTCTGACTTGTTTATACTGATACATCATCCGGATAAATTCGAGGCTGGGCCAATCAAATGTCGTGACCGCTGCCATTTTCCACAACATCCAGCAATAAATACCATGCACAGTTGGTGCGGCAGCTTCGGTATGTACGTGCATGTTGCTCGTCCAGCTTCATGCGCTGACACGTTTCCAGGGATCGTGCTGCATCTCACATCCACCGTCTTACTGGGCTACGTGCTCTTCTCGACCGGGTGGACGTCCGCAACCCTACATCGTGACACAACAGTCGTGCACCTCCATTTTTCGCCCACACAATTCTGCGTCGACAACGTATGCTCGACGTATTCCTCTGCGTACCCGTCCACGTCGTCGCACGACGTCAAGGTCATGCAGTTATTCGTGTTTGATGCATTCTGTGGAACCTCTATCCCAGCCAAGGGGCAAGCAGGAGGTGTACTGGACGTCCTGAATCGCGCGATCGAGCAAGACGTGTGCATTGGCGTGATGCAGGTCTGCAACGCACTCCTCGTTGCCATCTTCACACTTGCGGTCATGTCCACTGGCGCTACGCTCCTCTGTCTAACGTACTGGGTCCATGAACACCGAGTGGGACGGTTGCTGCTGGCCGCCCTCGTCGCGTCGTTCGTGCTTCATGGTGTCGTGGTGATGTTGTGGACTCCGTACGCATCGCCGACGTTTCCACCATCGAAAGGTTCCGCGGAAGTCGCCGTGAACGCCCCGCTCTATATCATCATGTTCAACTGCTGCATCGTGCTGATGGTGTTGATGAGGTTCACACACCACCTCACCTTGGAGCAAACGCGGCGGTACCTCAACCGGTTGCATGTCGGCCAGCTGGACAAGCATCCCCTCGACTGTCCAGCTTCTTACGCCTAGGAGGACATCCCGCGCACATTCCTAAGATCTTCCTGTCCCAACCTTGCATGTGATGTCGATCGACCGAGCGAAATGAATGGAACGCGCCTGCCGTGCATGTGCTTTAGTCGAATGCTGCTGCTGCACCACGTCGATTTCATCCCGAAATTCAATAAGCCAATCAGAACGTGTGAAATCAGAGTGTATATCCAATCCATACTTTTCTGCAGTCTGTGTTGCGAGTAATACGATAGTACTACTAGTAGTATGAAGTGTGACTCTTGCCAGCCAATCAAACTCGAGTTTGACGATAGGTACGGAGCAATGAAAGTGGTCAGCAAAACCAAGGCTATCTCCGTGTCCACGTGGATCGAAAGAAGGAAACCACAGCACGCAAGCACGTAAGTTTCTTCCTCTTACTTGGCATCTTTCCACTATAATTAACTACACATACAGTCGTTTGTCTCAGGAATTGTCATAACAAATATCCAAAGCTCGAGCTTTGTATATAGGTCTTTAATTCATGTCGAAAAATTCGTATTGTACTGGTTAGTGAAAACGATGGAAAATGAATTAAACATCAACATGACGCTGAAAACAGTTCCGAGCCATTTGATTTTATCCTAGTACTTGTCAAAAATGGTATCTGATTGGCTGCAAATTTCAGAATGATTGTTTTCCACCAATCATGTATCGTGGCACGGAACCAAGTTTTTACGGAATTATGTGGGAACCTTCAAAGTACTCTAAAGTACTATTAATAGTACAAACTAACTTGTTAGTACAGTAGTACGTAATATTATTATAGTATGAATACTTCGAAAAATAGTTTTACAGTAGCACGTATTAATAAAAATAGGAAGTTTACTAATTATCAATAGTACAATATTCATGCAGTAATGTTACCACATCATATGTCAGACCCTGTCGCTAAAAAACACGCCCAATTCCCAGTTTGTCGGTAATGTTTCCAATACATTCGTCACCCATCAGCTCCAATTCCACGCGCACGATATGAACGTTACTCGCGTCATGGCGACCAAGAAGCGGCGGCGACCGCATCCTTCCTTCTGGTTGATGATGCTCGTTCGTAAGTTATCCAGGAACTCCATGGTTGTTGTTACACATGGGACAAGGTGGGGAATATATATATATATATATATATATATACTTGTGTAATGGTGGAGTGTAGAATAATATTATTACAAGGGGCCGCACAAGTTGCGGAAATAGTTTAAGGGGTCGTGGTGGTGGCGGTGGCGGCGACGTCGGCGGACGCTTCTTCTTGCATCTCGCGGATGTGGGCAGTGCACATGCCGTTGGACTTTTGGAGCTTCTTGCAGTCGGGAACGGTGCAGAGCTTGCCGCGGCGATGGACTTCGCAGTACCCGCCGCCGCGGTCGGTCCGTGTGCAGTTCTCTTCGTGACATGACCGGAACCCGCCGTGGGTTGCGCAGAAGCTTCCTCGCTGCGCGCCCTTCATGCACCCGGCGGCTTCACATCGTCGACCTCCTCCATGCGACCGGCAGTACCCTCGACCTTGACTGCTCTTGATGCATCCTTCCGCCTTGCAGCGAGAGCCGCCGCCGTGGGCTTTGCACAGTCCTTGGGACTGGGCGGCATTGGTGCAGTTGTCGAACGAGCATCGCTTGCCGCCGCCATGTCCGATGCAGAACTCTCCGTTTTGCGCACCCTTGCCGCATCCGTCGACGCTGCACTTGCGCCCGCCGCCATGAGCCTTGCACAAGCCCTTGGACCGAATGCGCTTGGTGCAGTTGGGAATGCGACAGATGCCTTTGGGAGTCGAGTTGCCGCCGTTGCTGCCGTTGTATGGGGTGCCGCATGACGAGTACGGTGTCCCACACTGGGAGTACGGAGTGCCGCATTGGGAATACGGAGTGCCGCAGTTCGAGTACGGAGTGCCGCATTGAGAATACGGAGTGCCGCAGTTCGAGTAGGGCGTGCCGTAGTTCGAGTAGGGTGTGCCGCAGTTGGAGTAGGGCGTGCCGCTGTTCGAGTAAGGCGTCGTGGCAGAGTACATTTGTTCCGATCGGACGAGGAACGGGGAGTCCACCTTGTGCATGGGAGTACTGGAGTGGACTGGCAGGGCGTCCAGGGACGGCCGCACCATCATGGATTTGGTGGGTTTCTCCAAGGGCGCGACGGAAGGTCGCTGCGGAATCATGTTCTGCGGTGTCGTGACGGCGTTCGTGACTGCAGGGAGCTGGATGAAGCAGTCTTGCGGTGCTGGTGCAGTGTTGTTGTACATGTTCTGCTGCGCTTGTTGCGCTTCGAGGAGCAGCGTGTCGCCCAAGAAGAGGATTTCATCCAGCGAGAAGGCGTCCATCATGAGAGGTGTGCGGGGGGCTGCAACTTTGGAAGTGACCATGCTGGGGTTGTGGTCGGGGCGCTTCTGCAACAATGCGACCTCTCTCCATCTGGAGAACCGAGTCCACGCTGGATCTACCGCCGTGACACACGTGACAAGTACCAGCTGCGATCTGGGAAATTTTCCCCATGTCGAGCGATTCCTTTAAATAGTGTATCTACGGAATCGAGGTTGGCCAAGCATGGAGGGCTTTACGATTCCATGGGAATATGAACATCATCTTGGGTAGTTGCATGAAGGATGTTTCTCGTGGTAACCTACTTGGTAACTTTGCGGTAGTACAACGAGATCGATATCGGTTCAAGTGATCGACTAGGACGTAGTACTAGTAGTTACTTCGAAGTAGTAGTTAGTAGTTGTACGGAGGATTCAAGGAAAGGGTTGAAACAAAGGAATTCCTCTGGTTTGACCGGCCAAATAAGTCACAGGCGCCACGATGCTGGCGACATCATACTTATCTGTATTGTCTGCTGCCATGTTGGGATTCAGAACCGCCACATCATGGCAATCCACTTGTCAACATGGTAACTAACCCAGCTTTATCTTTGTCGTCGAGAAGAGGTTGGTTTGATATCTCGAGCCAACTATAATGGGGGCATTGAGGGACCTGAAAGTAAGTTTAAATGTTGTACTATTTAGTGGTCGTCCCTACGTATTGAAACGGCAAGGAGTTTCGAAACATTGGGAAATATCCAGGGGAACGAGATCCCGTTGGACGTGGGGATGGGAACGTTCCCAGCTCAACAACCACGCGACGACATTGCAACCATACAAAAACGATAAGGGCGAGATTCGTAATGCCCAACCCATCACATCTCATGAATGTGCAAGGCTTCGATAACTATACTTAGTAGGACCACCCATAACGTTAGTATATGCACTAACAGTTAGTTACCATCAGTCGAACATTATGGAACGATCGATATTCTCACACATCCTATTGTTGAATCGGGTCGTTGCTCCTGGGAGGGGGGGGGGGTTCCCTTCCTGTTAGTGAGAACGATCATAACGATCATCACGATCCGATTCAACATGTGACTGGTGGTGGTATACAGTAACTAATCGGTGGTTTGGTTGGAAGTAGTAGTCGTGTCGAGAACACATTGAGACAACCTGACGAAGAATTCCCCGATTAATCCAGTTCGACTGGTGTGTGTGTGTTGACGAGAAATTTTGGTTGTCAATGAAAGAATGATCACGTCTGGATATATAATAATACTATACTACTTACGCTTTACGACGAGGCTGACTTCGCCCAGTACAGTCAGTGTACTCTGGAGTAACTTGCAACTCCGTCCTAACAGTGTTACCCTGTGAGTACGTACACAAAGAATGCTCAAGTCCCAGGGTTACTATGTGACTGCATCACCACAGAGATGCACTTCACGTGTACTACGTAGTACTATTAATAGTTAGTAGTAAGAGGTGAGGGTGGTCTGAGTACTGTATATATAGTGTATAGTGTCCCATATAATCATCAATTTCTGAGAGAAGAAGCAGTAGAGCTGTATTAATCGGGGAATTCTTCCAAATGGACGATGGATTCGCACCCATATTTACTGGTAATGGGTTAACCTCGCTTGGCCCCTTGTAACGCTGGGTGGGATTGATTGGGACTCGACTTCGCGACGACGGAACGATCCGGAGAGACAGCAAATACCAACGTATGTGAAATACGAAAATGCACCAATCATAGATCGTTATTTGAATATGCACCAATCATACACTGAACCTCTGAATTTCTACTCACAAATACATACAAAAAGGAAGGTTCGTCGACAACGTAGACTTATAGTTCACCGTAAATTGGCACTCAAAATTATAGAGGTTCCGCGTCTATAACGTATAAGAACTTACAGTTCATTATCGCTTGCATATTCAGAAAAATCGCGCCGTTTCACATTGAAAACTGAGCAGTTCCGGATGCTGCATTACATTTGCGGATGATATATTTTTATTGCGCATGCATTGAGAAATCGCGCTGACCTGCATCGCGCCTTTCCCGCATGTACACACGTACTGTCCGCCTGCGAAATGCAGGAACAGGCCGTAAATTTGACATTGCGATCCAGTACCGTTAACATGTAAATAGACGGACATTGCCGTGATGATCACAGAATTGCTGACTCCTTTCGTCCCTTTTTCCCAAATCGCTCGTTTGACAAACTGCTAATTCTGCGCTACTTGCAGGGTTAAGCCGGGTGAGTATTCATTCGCCTCACCACCTGTCGGATAGGATGTGAAATTTAATTCCTCATCATATTGTCGATTTGATAGTACAAATTTGGGGAGGGGGTGCAATCGAATCGCGCCGACCAAACCGATCCACAATCGATCTGATTGGTTCAATTTCATTTAGAAGGTTTTGATTGGCTAATAATTATTTGAGCTCTTCTGAAGTAGCCAATCAAATCGATTTAAATTCCAACGAGAAACCACACCACAACACGAAATGGGCCGATCGGTGCAGATTTGTTAACGTTATATTAGGCTAAACGTCTCGTTAATCGTTGGATTTACCAAACCATGGATGTTGTAACGCTTCGTGCGCAGTAAATCGTTTCGACGGTTGCTTGGACAGGATATTTTGCAGCAGGGCCTTGGCTACACGTTAAACATGTGACCTCCCACGACATTCAAAGGGTTGCATAACGTTACCATCGAGGGAGATGCCGGTCCAAGAGTCGTCTTGGTCGACACACACGTCGGCATGCAAGGTCTTTTGAATGATGTCGTTCTTGGTCTTGCCATGGAACGGCAGTTCGCCGCGGAGGAGAAGGTACATGATCACTCCCAACGACCACACATCTGCTTCCTTGCCATATCCGACGAGGGAAAGGACTTCTGGTGCAACATAGTTGAGGGTTCCGCAGGGCATTTTCATAATCTCGTGCGGATACACGAGCTTAGACAGGCCGAAATCGGCAATCCGCAAGTCCGTCAGCTTATCCCCGCATAGAATGTTCTCTACAAGGAGGCGCTCAATACAACAACCATAGCTCCTTCTACCTATACGCGTCGGCCACCTTACCTGGCTTGATGTCGCGATGGACAATGCCCATCTTGTGCAGATATGCCACACTTTCGAACAGCGGTTTCATGACGGTTCGAGATTCCTATATATATGGGCCAATCAGATCGTTCGAAATATCGAAATGGATTATCAATCACCGCTTCTGTGTATCGAGATCGACCGACGATCTTGTTGAACAACTCGCCGCCGGACAAGAGTTCTGTGACGATGTAGATGTGGTGCTTGTTCTCGTACACGTCCTAGTCATAGTACGTATATGAACACATCATGAAAATGCGCATACCTTGAGGTGGATTATGTGTGGATGCTTGACAAGTTTTAAAATCGCAATCTCCGTGCGCAGCAACTCCTTCTCCGTGATCCCCAGCTGCGTCTTGTCGATGACTTTGACTGCAAACGACTCGTTCGTGACGAGATGCGTGGCTTCCCGAACATGAGAGAACCGTCCTTTCCCAAGTTCACGACCCAACGCGTAGAATTGGTCGATCGACACTTTACAGCTGGCTCGCTGCAGCTCGGCGACCCATTCGTCCCTGTCGACGGTCGTTTTCGCATACAAGAATCGTGTTTCCTCTACGGCGCCTGCATCAGCCGTGAGTTGAAACGCGAAGAAGCCTTGCTTCTCCATGGTTGGATACGACGGTACATCGACGTATCGCCCCGAGACGAAGATCACTCCTTTTGGTTTCGTGTCGACTTTCGTCCTACGCACATCACCACGTTTGAACTTGTAGATACAAAGTCATGATACCACCGTACGCATAGTAGTAGAGAAAGTTGCCCTGAAGGACATAATACCGCCGCTTCATCTGCTTGAGCCGCGTTCCCTTCTTCCACAAGTACCCATCGTGGCAAATATCACTCGCAAACGATTGCCGCGGTATTCGACTGCTTGTTGTCGTCACTTGCCGTGGTTGCAACTTGTCAATTTCAACGATGGCCTACGCAAGGCATCATGAGATATGGCTTTTCTGCACAACGCATTCATTCTACATACGTTCTCGATAGCTTGCAGGACGGTGGGTGCGGCGGTCGATTCCTTCGCCTAACGTATCGTCATGTGCATGATGCTTGACGGATTAAGGTTGGGGTGGGTTACCTGCAAGAGAAGCTCCCGTGTCGCGTCGCGCCTGTGTCCAAGGGAGAAAATTCGAAAATGAGAACTTTTCTTCGTTTCAAATGTTTCGCGCGCAATTTTTCCGTACTTCAAGTTGAGGCTGGATGAAAATTGAAACCGTCCCAGTGGCGTTTTTTCTTTTCGCGTCGGGGAGTACGAATTGCGCCGCCGCGGACGTAACCGCGTTTCCGTGGACGCTCCTTCACGGGAAGGGTTTGCCAACCGACTACATGCATGTGAGGAACAACGAAGGGAGATGCTGGATGGACCTGTCATCGAGTTTCGCAGCGGCAACCGCGGAATTGGTCGCGGCTTGATGCTCGTCCACAGGAAGGATGCTCATGAGAAACTGCAGGAACACTGATGAGATCAAGAGTTAGAAGTCGGACGACAGTACCTCGGAGATCATGGGGGTACTGTCGCACCACGCGAGAAATTCGTCAAACGTCATGCGCTCGCTCTTGTCTTTCACGTGGTTAACGAATGCATCCTCAACAAGTTGGTCCAAGTCCACTTGCTCGAAGTCGGCATGCGTCTATGAAACAGTGGTCTAAACATGTACAAACGACAAAGCATGGTGGATATGTACATTGTCGTTCGAAGCAGGCATCATCTTCATGTCCTTGAGAAGGATCATCGCAGACTGAGGGAACTGATGGATCATGGTCGTCATTTCCCGTTTCGAGATGGATCCCTTGCTACGCATGATTGATTAACCAAACACGAATGGAGTTTGGACGGCAGTCGTACTCGGACACGTCGTAAAGGTCAAAGATGAACTTCATCTTTTCGTTGCGAGATCCCCTAGGGTGTATTAGACTATGAATTCTCGTGGTCGGGTGATGGGCATGTGCCTACTTGGTAAGAATCGCCAGGCCACCAATGAACTCGTTGAACGTGATCGAATTCGACGCATTCTTGTCAAACACAGCAAACAACCGCTCTATGACGTCGAACAAATCATGAGATATGTGCAGGACATCATTTTGGTACCTCCCAAGAGTCCAGGCATGGGGAATATCTTGAGGAAGTTCTCCTTGTCCACCGAATTGTCAGCTGTGGTCTGAGTGATACCCTTGAAGACTTCACGCAAGAGGTGGATCTCCGCATCTTCGAATCGGAGAATCGCTTCTTTCTCGTCTCCAGAGAGACCATAGACACCGTCCATGCGGCCGCTCATGGCATTCCCCATCGATCGGAATCGCGTCGACGAGTTTCGTCTGGGTCCACAACAATTTTTGTAACCGACGCCGGGAGTATACGTTATGGACAGGTTATGTATTCTGAGAGGGTTCTACAATCCGACAACACGAACGAATACCCAGCGCAACCAAAGTGGTCTGATTTTCGAGGACCCAGGTTCACGATGAGACATTCTTAGAGCCAGGAAATGCTCTACATGACGATGCTATTCGTTGTCATTGAGCGAGCCAGAGGAATCGGATTAGTTCTTCGGGTGTAGATCCATCCACCTCTACGGCCCATCGCCTTCCCAAGGGGTATGTTCAAATATACTGATTGGCTAATATTCTCATCATTAATGCCGAATCAAAATCCTTCATTTCGTCGAATTCATCGATCACGTCTCTGATTGGATATTTATTGACGAATGGCATTCGAGGTCATATGCAGAAGCAGGGCGAGACCCATGTTGGACGTGAATGTTGTTGTTGTCGTGTCTGGCATTGCGAGTGCGACAATAATTGCCAATGTTGTACAGTAGTAATCTCCCATTAGGTGTGCCGCGAAAAATTGAAAACTAGTCAGACTGTGTACAGTACACAGATTAGTGGATAGACAGTAGGACAGTAGAACGACGTCGTTCTTTTGCACCGCCTGCCTTGATTCCTGAGAATGAAACCGCCACACGCCTTCGGTTACGTATTCGCCCCATGAGTTGGGACCTGAGCCACCTCGGCGCCAAGTACCCGTGGCTGCAAGTGAACGCATCAACGCTCGAGGAATTCCGAGCCCCATTTGACTGGTCCAAGAGATCAGCGAGTCGCGACGAAGTAGACAATAACACCGCCCAGAAACCTCCTGGTCGTCGTCGGCATAAACCTCCTCATCGTGGAAGCTCGCCGTCACATGCTACGGCCCGACAGGTGCTTGTCATCAACACACGAGATCACTTGACCGATGCCGTGGGGCTGCTCCAACGATACAACAGCCCACCACCGAAACCGACCAAAGCCAGCGTTCTTCTTTCACAAACCAGTAACCTCGCCATACCGTTGTTGGCACACGACATGAAGGATCATGATGAAACTCCTCGGCTTATGTCCCCAGCAAACAGCCAATCCTCAACTCACGCTACGAAACAAAGCAAGTTTGACGTACTACCTTCTACATGTACCACCACCACCACATCCAAGCACCAACTTGCAAAAGCTTTGATGTACCCAGCACCGAAATTGAAACCACCCATGCACAAGCAAAAGCAGCAAAACTCCCACCACATTCGTGATGTAGCACCGATGCAGCCGTATGCTACCGTGCCAGCGTCCTCCATGCCTAGTCCTGCCATCACTTCGAAACATTCCTCTGGACACTCCAAGTCGGCGGCGTTATTAGCCAAGCAGTCCCAAGACCTTGAACGCGCCCTCACACAAGCTAAAGCGGACGAACTTGCTCTTTTTGTACGTGCCAACTTGACTATTCCTGTACTTTTACATGTATATTTATCGTAGAAATCCCTGGGCGATACCATCGACGCGCAACGCGCTACGATCCCGCTTCAATTCCTCTTTGAACGAAACATGTCGGCGTATTGCATTCAAAAGGGCGTGGAAACGATTTTGCATGTGTTTTCCACGCTCCAGGTAATAACTACCGTTATATTATATATTCCATGATCAACCCATTCCGTCGTCATGTACAAAACCTCGTCATGATTAGGCCAAATACGTTTGTCAAGGCTTTACGAAATGGCACCAAGTGACGTACGTATGCCCTTTTACCCCAAGTGTTTATAATGATCGATCACACTAATTTTTTCATAACTACACTATTTTTAGTCAGTTTGAACTGTCCAAGAGTGGATTTGATTGGCTACTGGATTCATGATCTGGGTTTTGATTGGCTGATGCGGTGCTGCGCTGCTCATGTTTCAAATGTCCCACGTCATAACGTTGACGATATGATGCAGCACGGCGCATCGCAAACAACAGATCCATGCAGCCACCCGACAACGAGTACAAGCTAAAGCCATTGCGTTGTTGAATCGTGTGGCCGGGGACTGCTTGATGGGCAACACCAAACGCGCCTTGTATCGGTACAGTAGGCGATCCGTACAGCCAGGAAGTGATGGTGATCGACTGTTTAGGTGGCATCGCACGGTGAAACGCATGGTCGCGGACGAGCGCGATGCCGCCGCCACGGCCATCCAAAAGCACACCAAGCGGCGACGAGACTCACGGATTGTGCAGCGCATGCGAGAGGAACGAGTAGCAATGGATGCACAAAATGTGACTCGCATCCTGCAGGTTTAAAACGCACATGTGAACACATGCTCAACCTCGATAACATGCATAGTTGCTGGCGCTGGAAGCGAACGGTCGGAAGAATCTGTGGACGATTCGGGAACATGCAGGGAAGATCCGCGAGCGCCGAGCGTATGAAGCGAGAACACGCGAAGAGGCCGCCGTGCGCATCCAGAGCGCCTACCGCGGCCATCGAGGTCGAGTCATGGTGCAACGACTGCGGCGGATTGTGGCGGATGCTGTAGCCGCCGCCGAAGCCATCAAGCACGCGGCTCTGTTGCGCCTTCGAAATAACTCGACGCTCATCCAAAGCATCATTCGCATGTTCCTTGTTCGTTTGCGCTTGTATAACAAACGCATGCAAGACGCCATTCGTGCCGACAATGCACTCACCATCCAGGTTGACATCCTGTAATCATATAATTCTTCGCCTCTGCATGAAAGGAGTAGAGAGCATGGCGAATGAAGAAAGGCAAGAAGGCCATGGCATCTCGGTTCACCAAGCGCAAGATGTCGATGGAGGAGCAAGCCGAACGCGAAGTGTTCCTGGCGCGGCAGAAGTTCCTCGCAGAGATGGAGAAGCGACGACAAGCTTGCGCCGTCATCATGCAGCGCCGCATTCGAGGGTACCTTGCAAGGAAGCATGTCCATCTCATGCGGGAAACGCGACGACTTGATCATGCTGTCCGAAGGGTCCAAGCTGCATGGAGAAAGTCCAAGGGCAGGTGCGTACGGATATCTTTCGTTATCCGTATAATTTCAAAAATCGTTCGCGCGCAATTTCTCACATTTCGTATTTTGCACTGTGGTAGGTATGCGTTGCATCTACGCTTCCTTGCGCAGCGCGAGCGGTTGGAGTGGGAGCGGGAAGCGGCGGCCTTACGCATCCAGACGCAATGGAGAAGGCACGTGGCATGGAAGGAAGCGCAGAAGAGACGCCGAGACCGAAACGAAGCAATCGCCGCTGCCGCTAGGGAAGCCGAGCGACGGGGGCATCTGGAAGCGTGCGCAACGGATATTTCGCGAGTGTACCGGGGATATGTTATCCGCCAAAAGATCAAGGCGGATGGACTGGCTGCAACCAAGATCCAACGATGCGTACGACGGTGGCGGGGGCGAAAGTTGAGGAAAATTATGAAAAACATCCGCGCTGAGCGCCGCAAGCAAGAAGAGATTGCCGCCATCGTAATCCAGAGACACTCACGGGGAATGATGGGACGGCAGCGGGCAGCGTGTCGCGCCAATGAAGTGGCTGCGGACGCGCGGCGAAAGCACGCAGCGGCGGCGAAACTTCAGTCGCGGTACACCCCATATTCATAATATTTGCTCTCGCCACTGTTCTCATGCCAAATGCAGCTGGCGAGGACGTCATGGAAGGAGCGCGGCGAATCTCCTGCGGCGAGCACATGCAGTGGTTCATGTGGAATCCCTACAGTCTACTCAACATTCGGGGAAGTCGGCTCTTGAATTGGCTATCCATGGATTCGATGTAAGTACCGCGGCAGGCATCAAAGCGATGGAAGAAGCGATCTCTGCGGCGGAGCGCGACATCGAAGAATCCAGAGATGCCGCTGGTCGCATACAACGACTATATCGAGGACGAACAGGGCGCCAAGTCGCCGCAATTCGCCTTGCAGTACGTCAGTGTCGAGTTCCAAACGTTCGAAAATGAAATGTGTGTTATGCAGGAGAAAAAAGCGCGCGACCAACTCAAGTACGAGAGCGCGCGACAGATTCAACGAATAGTACGCGGGAGTCGTGGTCGGCGCAGAGTAGTGCGCATCAAGGGCGACCTGGCCAAGGAAGCCCTTCGGGAAGTCTACCGACGGGAACGCATCGCACTCGAGGACAAGAAGAAGTGGGCCGAGCAGTTGGACATGGAGCAGTTCAAGGCGGACACGGTGACTCGAAAAGAGCGCGAGCGAAAGCTGCTGATTGCACAGCAAGAAGAAGAAATCGCTAGGTTGGACGCCCAAACCAGTGCATACAAAGTGCAAGCGTTGGAGGCGCAAAAGGTATCGTTTATCTAGAGTATCGTAGGGTACAAAGTCGATTCTTGTTTGTGTGGAATAGACGCTCAAAGCAGCCCAAGCGGCCGCGTGGAAACCAATGAACGACGGCTTTGGCAATGTATTCTATAGCAACGAACTGACGGGGGACACTACGTGGGATATACCCGAAGCGCTCCAGCCAAAACTCGAATACGTGGATCGAGAAGAAGACTGGGAAGAGCTGTATAATCCCCACACTGGCCAACTTTACAAGCACAATCGGGTCACTGGCGCGGTCCAGATGAACCAAGTCGACGCCTCCACAGACGATATCCCCATTCCCACAGCAGCCGCCGTAATCGACAAGGCCATCGTAGCTGAAACCACAGACAAGCCCGTGGTTGAGCAGCAGCATCATCCTATTGCTTCACAAACATATATCCAGCCAAGTAAGGAGAAGACCGAGCAAAACGCGAGTAGCGTTGGTGTACTTTGTTGGCGATGCAAGAAGACTCGAGCTGTCAAAGAGTGTGTGAATTGCAACCCAGATCAGAGCTTGTATTGCGCATCGTGCTTTACAAAGGAACACAAGGCCGTGGCAAAGCAAACGCACGACTTTAAACGATTGAACCACGACGGCACTCATGCGGTATGTACTACTGTACTACATCATGAATGTTAGTCGATGTAACATTACTATTGTCCTTTTGCCCAAAAACTATTGTGTACTGAATATTTGGTATGTAAAGTGATGTCTTGTGGTGATTGGACTACAGTATATCACACACTAATTGAAGCTTCACCGTAATGAAATGTTGTTGCTGGTTTCCTGCAATTTGATTGGCTCAATTCTTTTGCCGAGTCTGCAGTACATTTATTTGGTTGTGTCGATTCACTTTTATTCTCCATGTCGCCCGTCCAGTTTAGAATAAACACACAACAATATCTATTTTATGCGAACTAACTGAACACAGACCTCAACAATGGTTCCATTTTTGATAGAATTTCTTAGAATAATAAATACTAGTATTTGTATATGGACACTATGATTTTTTGTAAATTCATTTTATATTCAATTAACAGTAAATTATTACAATTTTAACAAGAAAGTTAATTCTTTGGTGTTATGATATCTATTTCATGTGCGAACGAACTGACACAAATCGCATCTATGTCATAGTGTGGTATGTGCTACAAGTGCGACGGTCAGGCCAGCTATCACTGCGCGACGTGCGACCCAGGGTTCCAATTCATGTGCGACTTGTGCTATGCATCGACCCACGCTACCGCCGAATACGCCGCCCATCGCAACCTTGTTCATTTTCGACCTGGGTCGGCGCTGTGCAGCCACTGCACCAAATTGGTCGCGCTGCGAGGATGCGTGGAATGCCAAGACAAGTTTTGCATCGATTGTTTTGAGATGACTCATGCCAAGGGGAAGAAGAACGCCCATGTACCCATCGTGTTAAACGTGGTCAAGGCGCCGCTGGACGATGTCACAGACGCGTATTGCGCGGAATGCGACGTGGCACTGTGTACAAAGCTGTGCAATTTGTGCGGCGACGGGTTATGCGACGCGTGTTTTGCCCACTTGCATGCCAAGGGTCGCAAGGCCGAGCATACATTTGTGTCGTGGAAACTCATGACGCAAGCTGGGGACTGGATTGAGATTTTGGAGGGCAAAGTTCCCATGTATTATAACATTGTGACCAAGGAGAGCTCGGCGGATAAGCCGAGTGTACTGCTCCTGGGCGTCGACAGGCATCGCGATATGATTGCCGACAAGGTGCGCGAGCGAAAAAAGGCCGAAAGTGAGCGGGAAAGCGAGCTCGTCGCGCTGCGGGAACAGCTCAAGGCCATGCAAGAAGCGGCAGAACTGGCGCGACGGCAACAGAAGGAGCTGGATCTGCTCCATGAAAACCCTGACGTTGTACTGGTGAAACCACTCAAGAAGCGGTGGTGGAAGTCCAAAGCCCAATTGGCCAAGGACAAAGCAGAGCGAGAGCACCACGTCGTGCTTTCCCTCTTGCTGACGAAACAACGCCAGGACCAACTGCACCGAGAAGCGATGGAGGTCGGATCTGTCGCATACGCCAATGCCATCGTCGCAGACATGGTACAACAAAGCTAACAAGTCTGCGACAACGTGAGCCATTCAAACCAACCAATTCAGGACCATTTACACTCTCCTCGAACGAACTTGTACGTGTATAACCAGAGGTTATCGTTATTATTGGCGTCGTGGGCAATCGATTTGGATGGTGGTGGGTGGAATATTCTGAAGGGGATTGATTGGTTAGGCTGCTGGCCTTCGGCTGGCTACGAGTGCTACAAGTATCATTATTTTTATAGTATAACATATGTTTCTAGTATGACGAATATTGTATTCATATCACGTACGAGATGGTCGACTGGTCTGCCGCAGCATGTCTGCTTTGGGTGGAGACAGCGGAATCTAATTGATATATATAAATATATATCGACAGACATGTGTGAACAATGTCACATATATATATATATATATAATGTCCCATATATATATATATATATATATATATACCCGGAGAACCGGTTCATCTCGCGATGGATGCCGCCGGTCGTGTTTGCCGCGGTCCGTTGCCAAATTAGATGGCGGACTCGATCCTGTCGTCTTGACCGACATGGACGATCTGTTGACCGAGGATTTCTATACAAGAAGAGGTACATAGGTATATATTGTATGGTTCGTACATGTTGAAAACACATATGCGATACAGTACCGGCGACTTGTTTTGCTCGCCACGAACCCGACTATGGGATGATGGAGATGTCATTGTAGCTGCGACGAGGTCGTCGAGTCGACCAATGGACGACTCTAGCGTGGACATTGTCGCAGATACCAGCATGGACATTGTTGCAGACGACGCATGGGGCTTATTTCGAGCACTAGTAGTACTAGTAGTAGTAGCACAAGAGGACATTGTTACGCCTGGCACAAGCACCAAGTCGTGCAGGACGTTGCCATAGATACATGGCGTGTAATCCACGCGGGGAATCGGCATATTGGTCACTGCGGGTACTTCTGGCGTCGGCGACATCGTTCGTCCATCTCCTTTCTGGCGGCGGGAGGAATCTGCGACACTGTTTTTGACTTGTCGAGGCTGGTGTTTACACCCAGCAGTGGACACAGGACGTTTGTGGACGCGGCCGTCGATGTATTGCACGTCATACACGGCAAACCCAACTTGCACTGCACCCGGTGCAGGAGAGTGTTCCACTGGTTTTAGTATCGGGGGTGCAGAGGCACTGATCCTGCGTTGTTTCCGCGGACTGGTTGGACACGTTGTAGGGCGAGATGGAGGGGGTTGAGCTTTTTGCTGCTGGTCTTGCTGAGAAGCTTCGTCCAGAACTTGGAGAAGCTTTCGCCGCCGATCGGCTTCGAACCGCCGCGCGTCCTTGTCGTCGTCGTCGTCGATGGATAAGACGAGACGTCCAATATGATCGGGAAGAGGTCGAGGAATGGGGTTTTGGCTCATGGCATGCTTGTTATCAGTGCTTTTGTTGACGGCGGCGCTGTCGGCCTTCGATGGACGGACCTGTTCATGACCAATATATATATATATCATGACCATCCTCCTGACAACATTGTGTATGTACCTCGATGCAGCATTCGTCGTCGACTCCAGCGGTCGACCCATGTGAATCCAACGCACTACACGACAAGACACAACGAGTGGATATGCAACGAACGTGGTAGGTCGACGTACCTGAGCACCATCGTGTACCTGGAAGCATGCACGGGTGTGACTGGCACCATGGCCCGAGCCAAGTTGTCGAGTGGAATGGCAGTGGGCACGGCATCCCATGACGGCAAGACAAAGTCGCATCGGGTCTGCATCGTCACTACCGCCAAGAGTTCGTCCAGCGACCGAGTGACCCACTTGCACGTGTACGGCACTACCGACGCGTTCAAGTACTTCTCGAACAATATGTGTGCGCCGAGAGTCAAAATCGTCTCGACGATGACTTCCGTTGGATCTTCCCCTTCGTCCAGCTCCACAGGCAATGGCAGCACCAGACCTGCATCCACGGTACTCCCCTTCTTTGCATGTGACGTTGCAACTACACCCGCCATGCGTCCTCAGAGGCGTTTGGCGGTTTCACCGTGGGCGACTAGTGACATATGTCACTAAAATCTCGTGAAACTCATCCTGATCTATTTAGACCTTAAATAACGGATCATTATCTATTTAATCCTTAAACTGTCCTATGAATTGTACTCGAGTATATAATAAGTTGTCTGGTCCAAAATAGTTGTCATGTTAGACTTCAAAATGAAGTATTTTGTCCTAACTAAGCGTTAAACTTACTCATTCGCGTATCTGATTGGTGTAAATGCAAGCTGAAGATCTCCTCTTTGATTGGATACTTCAAACAGCGTAAAATTCACACTCTTGGCGAAGTTTTCCAACTTGAAAAATGACTTGTGCCACCTTGCTACTTAATTTTAATATCCAATAAGAGTCGATCACACCTTCTTTCTTGCACACGATTGGCTATAACACGGGTTACAATTTTGAACAGGTTGGACACTTGAATTTTGTAGAGCTTTGTGTGATGCTGATCTCGAGAATTGTGAACTGATGAGTTCACCCCGACTATTTCCAGTGTGGTTCTCCCCTTACAGCTTACATGATGTTGTTGGATTGCAATGTCGTGGTGGCTCTGGTGGGACAACGCGGTGGAGGAAGAGGTCTTGGTAGCACCCATCGCAAAGTGCTAAAACCGCCACTTCAGCACTTGCGACGGGTGCAATCAAGACGTCTTGCGCCACCGTCCACGCAACCACGTGATCACACACATACCGGCAGGGAGGTGTACGGTACCGACACGGGCTGGATGGTGGAATGCGGGATAACCAATTTCATTGGGTTAGTAGGCAAGTGGTGAAATGAGACCTGTTAGAATTGACCGAGTCCTGAATACCACATCACATGATCTTGCTCTCATACACGACCTATATGTATCGCAACAAGGCGTGATGAGGCATAGAGCGATGTATGCGACTACTCAACCCGTCGATCCTGGGCTGTCCCGCCCTCCGCCAAGTCGATGCGATGATCAACCAAGCGTTTGGTCCGACCTTGGAATCGGAACGTGTACGCGCCAAGCTGCTGCGGTACCTCCGTCACATTTTGGACCAAGGCCAGTGCTCGTATTTGATCACGCCGTCGGGGTCGTACCCGCTCAAAACGCACCTGCCGGATTCCGACATTGACGTGTGTCTGGAAGTGCCGGACGCGGCCGCCACGTGGCATCTTGCCGTGACCCAAGCGCTGATTGGCGCCGCGACGCCCGTCGACAGCGATTTTCGTGATTTCACGGCATCTGATTGGACAAACTGGACGGTTCACCTTGCGCAGCAAACAAGATTGCCTATTTCACCTTGCTTTTTCTGGTTAATGGCCTTCAAATTGGCAAAATATTCAATCACTCGCCAGAGAATCCAATCTTAACTATAAACTTCCCCATCTCGCCCACTTGTTCATGTGATTGTTGTATTGCCCTTGAAGCACTACTATACCAAGGCGCTTCTATGATGTTGTATGTATCGATCAAACATGCTCAAAAGACGCCATACGTGACCGTAGTTCCTTCGGTAGACGTCTGTCGACGACGAAATCGCACCTGAGGCTAAACGATGCCTAGTTGAACAAGCTACGGCACTGCGATTTGCTTGTTGTGGTAGATGTCACTTGATATTTCCAGTATAATTATGCTTTAATAATATTGCAGTTTGTATAGAATGTACTAAACATGTATACAAGTGGCTGAATGATTTATACTAAGGATACAAATTACGAGTCAAACCAAGACAGCTACTTTGGACCAGAGTAGCATCAGATTTATACCGTAGAAAATGAACGATAAATTAGTGTGGTAACTATGACAAAGGATACATACGGTAATTGATCATGCTGGATGTGGCAAGATGGACGGCGACTTCTACGTCGAGGTGGGAGTTGATACTTGTATTCGTCATTGGTTTGTGCTCTGGCCTGCTCATTCCACGTGTCATGCGAACCTTCCAGCGCTTCTCCACCGTCAAGGACATCCCTGATGCATGCTTCCACCAGCGCATGACACTTCGAGGTACCGTCGTATCTGTGTCCGACGGCGACACGTTCCGCCTTCGGCACATGCCGCTGTGGAGGTATGTATGTTGCTTTACCACGATAGCAAAGACCACACCAGTGACGAGTCCATCACACTATGTACACAGGGGGGTAGGGACGTACCCAACCAAGAAACCCACCGAGCACACGCTTCAGATCCGACTGGCAGGCGTCGACACCCCGGAAATGCCTCACTTCGGTACTACGTGACCCTCTATTCCACCCGTTTCTACGGTCCCCCTCAGCGAATACAGTACTACTACTACTAAGGACCATCCTCTTCCTAGGCAAGGAATGCCAGCCCTATGCCAAGGAAGCCAAGGCATGGCTCGTGCACGAGCTCAAAGGCGCGGTCGTGACGGTGACCTTGCTACGTCGAGACCAATACGGCCGCGCAGGTCTCACCATCATCGTATCTATCATCGAATATGACGACTGTAATTAGTGTGCATGGTGACGTACAGTAAATCGTGGTGGGCCGTCAAGAAGAACGTGTCCGAAGAGCTATTGAGAGTCGGCCTCGCCAAAGTCTACCGCTTGGCTGGAGCTGAATACGGCGGCCTCCTCGACACGTTCAATATCCTCGAAGCCCACGCGAAGAAAGCCAAGCTTAACATATGGAGCCAATAGCTCATAAACGAAATCACATCATCACACGTTTCAAGTGTCTATCATCGTCGTACTGTAGTTCCTATTATAAGAGAAATAACGTCATCACATGTTTCAAGTGTCTATCGTCGTCGTTTGAAGGCGGCCAACCGAATTATCATTATTATTTAATAGAACGTTATTAATAGTACTACATTTGTATTGTGCTTTGCACCTTTTTTGGCAATTCCAGGGTTAAATTCATTGTTTAAAAAATTATCAGGCTTAAATAACGTCTAAAGTAACTTAAATTACGGTTGGGTGTGTTGTTTAAAGTTACTTCATCTAATGCGATGATTGGTGGGTTGAAGGTGGTTTTACAGGCACTTTCGTAAAACAAGTTGTTTGCCGGTTTTCATTCCGGCAAACAACTTACTTTACGTCAACACGTCAAGGTGCTTGCCGCAATGAAACTGAAGCAGCTATGGCCACATATATGACCTCTTATCCATGATCACTACAGTACTAACATTATCTACTCCGAGTAATGTATATAACGTTAGGGATATAGTTAGAATATATGTAGTCGTCGCGCTGTCCAATGATTCAAAGCTATGCCATACCAACATGTGCAACACTTGATCTGCTCTAACCTTAGCACAGTACGTGGAAGGCAAGGGCGCACTACGACTACACGATGTATAGTACTCCCATTTCACATCCTAATACGGTAATACGGTATGCATCGTGATGCACTGGTGGTTGCGCTGCGTTAGTTGACCTGGTGCTACAACTCGATTAGTTAGTGGCTGAAATAAAGTAAGGGTTGTTTTATTCTGCTGAAATGCAGAACTTGTGTTTAGCGTTGTTTTATCTTCAATTGGGCTTATATTATTTTAAACGTCTGGTTCTTTAACGCAGTTAATGAACGGGCAAACTACATGAAAAGCACAATAGTACGTACCTTGTATTATTTACGACTGGATTCACATTTGACGCCCATATGGTCGCCATCATTTGGGAACTGATTCACATTTGACGACCATATTGCTTGTTCTCGAACGTACTTACATGTTGTTCAAATCGTAATCACATCTTTGACTTCGAAGTAATTACTATTAATAGTATTAATATGCAAATAGTACAAGGGCCACTCTGGCTGGCCTCTTTTCAGAACTATTATGATAATTTTTTCCAAACGACAGTTTTTGTGTGTGTTTGGGTACGAAATGTGATATACTATATAATTTGATATAATAAGTACGTCGATAATATATTTACTGCTTTCTGACAGACAAAAGTGTCGCATTTGTACCCACAGGTTTTTCCAGCAATAGTTCTCCTTCCATCATCCTATTCAGAGGGTCACATAATTTCTAAATATTCTTTATTGTCCTATATTTTCCAAATATTTTTTATTGTCGTATATTTTCCAAATATTTTTTATTGTCCTATATTTTCCAAATATTTTTTATTGTCCTATATTTTCCAAATATTTTTTATTGTCAAATATTTTCCAAATATTTTTTATTGTCAAATATTGTCGAAATATTTTTTTGTCACCTCCCATTTGAAAAGGGAATTGTGTGTCAGAATATTAAAAATCTTTGACATCAAATTTTCTGTGGCATCCTCATAATAAATAATAATATTTTTTTCTGTTTTGGAATTATATGGCAAACGTGAGGATAGCATCGACGACGTCGTGTCGCATACTGAGTTGGTCGGGTGTAAGCGGTCCCAGCGACTGCCGTGGCGATGATAATGGCGATGGATCCACAACACTTGCCATACCTTCCATAGCTTGGACTAGGTCGAGCAGTGACAGGTCGTAAAACCTAAAAGCATACCATTTCAATTATATAATTCTTCAGAAACGCTGTCACATATTTTGATATATAATAAATATACACACGCACTCGCTATCGACCATGCTGGTACGAGAAGGAAGCATGCGCTGCTGCTGCGGTCTCTTCGGAGGTGCTATCTCTGGATGGTGTGGGGAAGCCTCGCTCGCTGCGATACGAATAATTTCTGCGACACTGTCGACTTGAACGCCGATTGTGTGCGTGTGCACGGCGTCCGTCTGCGTCTGCGACGATGTCACAGGCGTGGGAAGCACTGGCTCGAGCGCCGCGTCCATGCGGTGCTTCCATTCGAGCACGATATCCCTTACCTAGACAGCAATGCGCAAAAAAATATATTATTATTATATAAACGAGGTTGTGGATGCATTATTTTTATTGGGTCGAACAAAATATACATAGGTGGTGCCACGAATATTGCCATATATATATATATATATGGCAATAATCCTTTTGAGTGTCATGTATTTAGTATATATATATATATACTATATTTACTAAATGCATGACACTCAAAACCCCATGGGATGTTTCAATTAGCAAAACCATAATAGAATTAATATTCTTGCAATATATTGAACCTAGTTTCGTACCTTGTCCGTGGACGACAGGTTCAAAAGCGAGGAAATATCCGAGTGATGGTCTTTGTCCTACATTCCGCAACCCGGTCGGTATGAAAGGTAAAGCCAGGTAATTATATATATATAGTGTCGGTACTCCCAGGTGATCATATATATATATATATACCTCGGACAGTCGTTGGTGAGCGTCTAGTTGTTCGGCCAAGAGCAACCGCTGTCGCCGCTCCATGGCGATCTCTTCCCGCAGGCGGTCCATCTCGACCTCCCATTGCCGCGATGCCTTGCGCATGGCGTCGTCATGATCGAGTCGAAGAACTTGAAGCGCATGGGCGTGGTTGTGCGCTTGCTGCTGGAGTCGCGCCGCGTCCGCTGCCGCCGCGGTCACTTTGGCCTGCTCCATGTCGCTCTGTGCCTGCATCGCATGCATGCGTGCTTGGTACGTCTTGAGCATGTCGAGGGATTGCGCCAGCTTGATTTGGAGATCTAGGATAATGGTGGTGGAGTGGGTGGGTGGAATGGCACGGGTAGTAGTACACACCATCCTTGTCGGCCACGGCTTGATCGAGCACGGCCGTGACGTCGTCGACCTGTTTGCGCAGCTGCTCGTTCTCGCCCCCAACTTTCATCAACTGACGAATGAGCTTGCCCACCTTTTGCTTGTCCTCGGGACAGAGGTGGCTGATACGGACGCGACTCTGGGCCGACGAGTGCACAGGTGACGACGACCCGATGTCGGCAACGTCTTGTCGGATTGCGACGGTCTGGCGAAGTTGCTTCCATTGGGACAAGGGAGCAGCGCGGGTGGAAGTAGAGGATTGTGCATTTCTTGCTCGTGAGATATCCCGTGGACCTGTGGCCGCTGCACGAGTGCCGCCGTGGCGGCGGCTCCAGTGAGCGCCGCTGCTGCTGGTGGAAGGATTCATAATGTATTGTGGAATCGACTACATATTGGACCAATCACAACAAAGGAGGTATTATAACGCAATACGTTAAACCGGGCCACACGTTTAAACAGGTTTAGGGACAATTCAAGGTGATAAAACGTAGTGGTTATATCATGGGCTCACGTTATTTCGTCTTTCTACCAACGGGGATGGAATATATTGCAGCTATCTGTAATTTAATTAAAAGTGATAAAGTTATCAGTAAGTTTGTATTGTCTCACAATAAAACCATGTTCTGTTTCTATTTTATTCTCTTGAAGTAACTCCTGTACCTGCTGCGCGTCTCACTTTTATTTTTCATCCGCAGAAGAGACTAGACCAGCTACATGAGCACTGCTTCCGCTGCCACCCCCGCTGCTGTTGCCGTTGCCGCGCCGCCTGCGGCCCCTGCCGCGACCACGACGACCCCTGCGCCGATCAACACTTCCTCCAGCATCTTGGAGAAACACCCTCGCTTGATGGATGAATTGCCAAAGCACGCAAAGCCCGCCGCCCTTGCGAACAAAGTGTTGGCGTACGGCACGGCTGGGTTCCGCGACAATGCCGACATCCTCGGTTCCACGTTTCACCGCATGGGCATGCTTGCAGTCCTTCGTTCCAAGAAGGAGCACAAGATCACGGGGTTGATGGTCACGGCGTCGCACAACGCTGCCCCCGACAACGGAGTCAAGCTCGTCGACCCCGATGGCGGCATGTTGTCGCAATCGTGGGAGAAATACGCGCAGCAACTGGCGAACGCCCCCACCGAAAAGGTTGTGGAAGCGCTCGACTCGATTGTGCGCGCCGAGAAGATCGATTTGGATCAACCTGGCAACATCTTCATTGCCAAGGACACCCGCGTGTCCAGCGAGGTACATCCCCCTCCTTCATCAGCGTTATCATCTCTCCATGTCTTATGCTTTGACGTAGCACTTGTCGGAATTGGCGCGGGAAGGCGCTCTCCTCGTCGGCGGCAACGTCCTGGACTTTGGACTCCAGACGACCCCCCAGCTGCACCATTATGTCCGCATGGTATGTCGTCTCCCATCCTTTTGCTGACTTTCGACCATGTTATGCTATTTAAGTGGGAATATGCTTAAATATATCTCGAATGATATTTACATAATTTTATATATGTCTCGTCTGGACAAACTATAATATATATATTTTAGTCATTAACTACCCATTGCAAGGGTATGTATATCTGTTTTTGAATTTCTGTTGATGTCGATTGTAGTATTCTTACGATATAGTTGGATATTAAGTCGACTGATATATATATATATACGATTGAACGTCATATATTTCGTCGTTCTTGCCAAGGAAGAATAAAATATCAATGTTTGAATCTGTAATATTATATATATATATATTAACCCACGTGATTATAGTGGAACTTTGAGCAATACAACAAGGGCGACTGGGCGTCCGAAACTGGCTACTACAACATGCTCGTAGACGCATTCAAGCAACTCACGAGTGGCGTCGACCCCAAGGTATATATATAAATATATATATATATATATTCCTGGAGCGCCAATCTATCTTCTTTTTGGCTCGAATGTGGCTGACAAACTTGCTTAGAAACTCGAACTTCGCACGCCGTTGTACGTGGACTGCGCCCACGGCGTCGGGGCGCCCCAGCTATCTAAACTGGCCAAGGAACTGGGCGATTTGCTCCATGTGGAGATTCGAAACACCCCCGCGGATGGCCAGCTCAACCACGAGTGCGGCGCCGAGCATGTGCAGAAGGGCCGCGCGCCTCCCGCCGGCTTTTCCCGCGATGCGGATCGGTATGGCCACGGCTTGTATATATATATATATATTCTAGGATGTTGGGCATTCGAATACATTGTATGTCGTGTACCCTATTCAGTCATTCAGTTTGTGATTTACTTGGGAACTATCGCCAGACCTTTGAAATTTGATGTAAAACCAAGTTTAAGAGTGATGATTTTATATATATTCATCCGTTTGAGCTAATCAAGTTGCACGCTTTATTCGTTTTAGCCAATCATCTTTGCTTGTTCTATGTGTTGGCAAAGTTAACCACATCTCCTAAACTTACAACGTTGGGCGACAAACCCCATATAAATATATATATACGTTTTATATCTATATAAATATGTCTATTTCAAGTGTATCTATATATCGCGCCTCCTATGAATCTATCTATCTATCTATATATATATATATATATGGCATACGCATGTATATCTTTCTAGAGTCTGCCACGTTGTCCACCCACTATTATTTCTAGTCTATCTATGGCACCTCGTATATATATATATATATAATATATATATCTAGTGGCAAGCGCGCGTGCAGCTTGGATGGCGACGCCGATCGCGTGGTATTTCACTATTTCGACGACCAAGGCGCGTGGCATCTGCTGGATGGTGATAAAATTGCTTGCTTATTTGCCGACTTTTTCGCGGACAAGCTAGCGGTGCTCGAGTTGGATGAGATTTCACTGGGGGTGGTGCAGACTGCTTATGCCAACGGTGGCGCCCATGCATACCTGAAAGCCAAGCAGATTCCCATTGGATTGGCCAAGACAGGCGTCAAGTACTGCCACCACAAAGCCATGGAGTTTGATATTGGCATTTACTTTGAAGCGAATGGCCACGGTACAGTCATGGTGAAAGATCATGTGATCGATCGGCTGCAGAAGCTCGAAACCGCCGTGGATGACCCGAAGAAGAAGGCCGCCGTGTCGCAGATCCTGGCGGCGTACCAGCTGATCAACCAGGCTGTGGGGGATGCCCTGAGCGACCTCTTGTTTGTGGAAGTGCTGCTCCTTCAACAGAACTGGACGATTCAGCACTGGAATGCCATATACAACGACCTACCATCCCGCCAGACCAAGGTCCAGATCGCCGATAGAGCTCTGGTCAAGACGACCGACGATGAGACTGCTTGTTTGGCCCCCGAAGCGCTCAAAGATGCCGTGGATGCACTCGTGGCCGCCGCCGGTCCCCGCGCCCGCGCCTTTGTCCGCCCATCCGGCACGGAAGATGCCGTGCGTGTGTATGCGGAGGCGCAGACGGAAGCCGCCGCCAACGACCTGGCACTCCGCGTCGCCCAAGCCGTCCATGCGCATGCGGCGGGGGTCGGAAACGCGCCGACGGCATTTGTCGCCTAAGAAGCAAGGCTCGTGGGTTTAAACGATAATGATGAGAAGATATGATGGGATAAACTATCGTTACTAGGACGTGGTGTGTAACAGTATCGCAGACGACGTGGGCAGATTGACTTATTCGCTATATACTCGTAATCGTCAATATTATTAATAATAGAAGTACTACTATTGTGAATTCGATACGAATTTCCAAGAATCGAATATATTTCGCCGCCGAATCGGATCACGAATCCACGCTATTGGCTAATCCAATTTTTTGAGTGGATTTGATTGGCTCTTTGGACATGTATATTCAACCAATCACAACTCCTGCGTGATGCAATATAGATTCGACAAACCAGGAATTTTGGAAGTTTATAGCGAATATTGACAATATTACTATAATACTAGTACTACTTGATACTGGTCCGAATATATTTGAGTGACTACCAAGTTTGCAGGACTGGAATAAATGAGCCGCCAAAAGTACATACTGGTCAATCTTGACATGAGAGTGTACTACACCGAGTACTCTCTCGACTTTTTATGTACATTTTAGGGCGAACTCAAGAGTAGAATTCGATGTCTGTACCAGTTCATGTCGAGTGTGTCGTCGTCATGGTCGTAACGACTATAAAGCAACCCATCCATCGCTACAAGGTGGCCGTAACGTTATGCACGGAAGACCTCCTTCTTGTCGACCCCACCCCAACAATATCTGCCATAGCTAACAACACTCTAAACTTGCCTTCAGGAGGTGTTTGCCAATGGATGTGTGCCCCGTGTTGTGGATGGATGGATGGCTTGCGTGTAAATATGATATTCAAGGCCGACACCCGTCGACGTACCCCTCCAACATGACTGTAACTACTCGACCAACAAGAGATCGATGGTCAAGCCACGTGTGTGGGAGACACTTGGGGGGATGGATGCTAGTGAATTGGAAAGTGAATTCACAGTAGGGTTTGCTTGCAGCGACGACAACAGCCTGTGGAGGGTAGCTACCCTAGCTGCATAATATATATTGTAATAATGGCTTTACCCCTCGTATGATGATACTTGTTAGATTTGGACTAGTTCCCCGTAGAATCGGCAAATATTATGGAAAGGCAATGGCATATTTTGCGAGATGCACAACACGTTTGTTGTGAACATGTCAACATGGGCAGCCAAATCCCAATTAACGTTAGGGCCGAGCATAGGTCACTAGAATTGACGTTTGCGTCGTACAGCAGACAAGACCAAGTATGGCCACGGTACTACACTTATTCCCGAGAATACAGTTGTACGGTCGTTAACAGGACTGGTCTGGACCTCCACAAATGTCCCAAAGTCTCTAAAAAGTATCTACAAAGGTGTGTGGATGCCAAGTTTTCCACTGGTTGGAGCTCCCGACAGTGTGTTGGGGTGATTTCATTGCGTACTAATACATATGTACTACGCGTTATTCGTTCATTTTAGCCATAACTCAATGGGTTTGAAGAGTTTCTCCAATCATACACTTTGGGTACCGGTACTCGTTGGTCTAACACTGTAAGTTGTCTACGTAGTACATATGTACTGTACCTCGTTCTTGACATGGACGAGTTGAACAGTCATGTAGCCAACGTCTCTTGAATTCATATTACCATACTTGCCATCATAGCTCCAACCATCCTTCAGTACACTCGAGGACCACACAAAGCTGCGATACAGTCTGTATATGGTTGGTATACAGCTAGCCACACTTGAACGACTGGGAAGTGTTTACCACGGAAAGTGCACAGCAGCTCGACGAATGGAAAGCATCATAATGGTTTGGTGTTTTGTTTATATGTCATCTCTTGCCACCATTGTGCTCAGAGACAAGTACGTACAGGCGGCGCTGGGTATATGGCGGCCGTGGCTACTCCATCGAACGGGAAAGCAAGAGGCACGCCGTGTAGTGATGGAATGGATAATATCAGTTGAAGGCCCGAACGAACCCTGCGCCGACAAACGTAGCGCCAAACCCAGCGAGCCACCGTCGATGTCCGACCTGTGACGGCGGGACCTTGGCCAGTTCATGGAACGCGTATGTGGCTACCCCTAGGCATGTGATCGTCCCAGTGGCGCGGCATCTACATGACGATTGTTTAAAATACATGTATATATCCATCAACGTACTCGAAGCAGTCCGTCTTCTCGGCACCAGTGCCATCGGCCAACGCCTGCGTCGGTGTCGGCGGCAATGTTGGCACCATCGTACTGAAATTTGTGATTTGCCACCACGTGATTGGCTGTTCAAAATAACTTGGGTTCAGTATGTCGGAGTTAGGTAATTCACGTTGAAAATTTCAATATCGTTTGTTGGAGGTTCTGTCGCAGGAAGTATGCATTTATAGAGTATTGTACGACCATTTTCATTCATTTTTACTGCGGTGTCCGTCCTTTCTGGCGCTGGATGAGCAGCGACGGAGGACCTCACGCCGAGAAGGACCTCCACCACCAAGAGGAACATGTCGTCCCATGGGACATCATCGGTACCACCGCTGCATCCACCATGTCGTCTGATGGACATTGCATGCGTAGCTCGCGAACTTGCTGGCCCGCCGCGCCACTTCCACGATGACTTTTTGCAGGCGCTCCAACCTTCGTTCATGGAACTAGCCGCGAAGAACAGCATGTTGCTGTCCGATCAACTGACGCACTTTCTCAGTCGAGAGTTCCCATCCGATGCTGCCCCATCCACAGGATACGCAACCTATGCGCGCCGCGTCGTGGAACACATCCATCGCATGCGCATGGAAGCTCCCGTGTTCACGTCGAACGTTGACCAAGATGCATGCATAAAGCACCCGAGCACGATCTCCAACCAGTACATTTCATTCATGGAACTCAAGACGGCGCTCCAGATACCGTCGATGATTTCCCATCGACTCGCCACCCTCGACCCGTACGCGTTGTGCCCCAGCGTCATGTCGCCTCCTCCCGTGCATCATGCTTCGTCGCTCCTCCGTCCACGTCCGTTGATCTTTCCACCTGCACATCATCCCTCCAAGGCGGCGCCGAGTCCGCGCGATTTCCGCGCCAACGTGTGCAAGCGCTCACGGAAATGGCTCGGCGGCCCTCCTCGGCCGCGCATCCTCGTCGTCAAGGGCGATGTCGTGGAGCTGTTCAAGAAAGGCGACAAGAAGAAGGCGAGCAAGACCGTCCAAGTCGCGTCCATCGACACCATCACGTCGTCTACCACCTCGTCGTTCGAGTTCACACTGCGCATGAAGGATGGCACGACGCTCGTGCTAACGTGTGATTCTCGGGAATCTATGCGTCATTGTGTACGTGCCGGTTGCGCTCATATTGCCTTGGAATACATATATTTAAATATATATATATATCGTGAATTATTGCTGGAAACTTCCATAATGTTCTCGTGGTTTTCGAATCGATATTGAATGATGGAATCGCACTGGAAGTTCTGATTGGCTGAATATATTTGTCTTTTCTAAAAGAGCCAATCAGAATCGCTGAAAAATACTGACTTAGCCAATAGTGTCGATTATGATTCGATTGGTCGGCGGCGAGAGACAGGGTCTGGAAATTTGTACCAAATCCACAGTATGTATATATTATATATATATAGAATTTTCTCTCTCGAATTGTACCTTTCTTGTGTGTGATTTGCCTATTTCAACACGATAATGTGAGAAATACAACGATATTCTCAAATTTTTACTTGCAATATGCGATACCGTTCACTAGTTATGTGTGTTGTTTGACCCTCATGTGGATACGTACGAACTCGACAATGTGGCGGCTATCGCAATCTCAGCTTTTACCAAATGGATATTATTTTTCTTTATTAATATTCATTTAATACCACACATAGAATGCTAGAAAACGGCGCCTCTTTTCAGACCAAACGACAGCTTTTGTGTGTTTGGCTACGAAATGTGACATACTATATAATTTGATACAATATACGTCGATAATATCTTTACTGCTTTCTGACTGACAAAAGTATTGAAGTGTCGAATTTGTACCCACAGGTTATTATCCAGCAATTGTTCTCCTTCCATCATCACATCCAGAGGGTCACATAATTTCCAAATATTCTTTATTGTCAAATATTTTCCAAATATTTTTTATTGTCCTGTATTTTCCAAATATTTTTTATTGTCCTATATTTTTCAACTATTTTTTATTGTCATATATTTTTCAAATACTTTTTATTGTCATATATTTTCCAAATATTTTTTTTGTCATGTATTTTTCAAATATTTTTTGTCACCTCCCCTTTGAAAAGGGAATTCTCAGAGAATATTATCTTGGATATCAAATTTTCTGAATACTACGTACTTTTGACTGTCTGGCTCAATCTGCTTTCGAAACAAACGATTGTCATATATTGCCATCTTTCACAAATATATATAATAAATAGTCCATTGAACCACTTATTACTTTATTTCGGCGAAAAATGCACGTGTTTCGGGGGGTTTATAGTAGCAAACGACGCTTGAATTCTGCACCGTTGTTTTTAATCTCCAGTTACTTGTACTATATATAATAAAAATAATAGCAAAACCACCATTGTTTCATGTGGGATCGATTTCTTGGACACATATATATATATATATATATATTGGGTCGTTTCTATATATATATATATATATTGGCCTATAGTATTTCTTGACATCCAAACAATCGCTCCCCGTTGTCCAATTACGTTGAAGTATGTGAATCATATACTAAACAAACGATAAACGTAGATGGCGGAAATCGCGACCACTTGCCTCGTGCATGCCGCCCTGGACACGGGCCAACCGGCGTCGGTGCTTTCGAAATCTGTCCTCAGAAGCGGCGGCGTCTCGCGCTTCTTGTCGTCATCCACAGACGTCATTGGGGTCATGGCGGCGAATGAGAAGAGCTTCTCCCGCGTGGCGGCGTTGGTGGCGGCGGGGGCATCCTGCCGTCCGCTGCTTCGGTGGTCGTTTGCGTCCATGTTGTTCTTGACTTCATTATCGTCATCGCCGCCGCTCCATCGTCGCAATATGCTCGACTTGTTTCTGCAGCATCAGTTGCCTCTGGATGCCGTGGGGGATGATCATGATGGCGGCGGCGGGTGGTCACTGCTGCAGTACCTCTGTCTTGTGCGAAATGTATCGAGTGTCGAACGGTTTCTCACAGAGCTACGTACCCACCATGATCATCAAGGACATTTGCTGCTACGATGTCTTGCGCATGTGAATGCTGCCAATGACTCGGTGCTACATATCGTGTTCAAAACCAAGTCGACCCCATCGCTCCATCAGGACTATATCGACGCAAGCGAACGCGGATCCACTAGTATCGTCAACCCCATCCTCACAACAGTATTGCCAAGTCCGCCGCGGCAAAAAGAACAACAACATGAAGATGTAGATGCTGCTTCTGAGCGGATTGGATGCCTCTTACTCCAAGCTGCCTTGACCACCGTTCATTGGCCGATCGAAACGTCAAACCAACCGAAACAGATGGACTCGTACCATCATGAGTCTTGGGTCAATCAGTGCGATGGCCATGGCGATACATTGCTACATGCAGCCATCCGAGCTCGAATGTGGACATGCGTCGACTTGCTCGTCAAGTTGCATGCGTCTCCGACCGTTGTGGACGCTCAGGTATTATGTACTAGAAGAGTTTTTAGTTTTATACCAAGTTTTCACACCCTTGCTCGTTCGTAAATTGGGATTCGCTGTATACTAACGGCCTGTTCCAAGTAGATATTTTTATTAGCAAAATGACAAAGTGGTTCCAATTATTGTCGATTTTATACAAATTTGGAGACGGGGTGCAATCGAATTGCGCCGACCAAACCGATCCACAATATCGATCTGATTGGTTCAATTTCATTTAGAAGGTTTTGATTGGCTAATAATATTGAGCTCATCTGAGGTAGCCAATCAAATCGATCTAAATTCCAACGAGAAACCACGCCACAACACGAAAATTCACTGGAAAGCACAATACAGTTTCCTACGTTTTTTACCTGTTCTTCTGCGATTTTACTATACCAAAAATAAAATAAGAGGTCCTTGACATCTTTTTCTAAATCGTGAAAAAAAAGAGTTAAATCGATTTTGATTGGCTCATGCTATTTCTGAAAACTACGTGGAACTCCCCCTAATCAAACGATACCAAGCTATTGGCGAATCCAATAAATAATATTATTTTATATTAGATTTTAATAATATATTATTCATTTAATAATAATATTTTAGAATTTTCTAAAATATTTATTATTAATTTAGAAAAAAGGTTCTACTAAAAATATATTTAATATTTATTATATACGATTTGATATATTAGTGAATAGGTGCTATTACTTTAACTATTGAAGAAATTTTGAGTGGATTTGATTGGATTGGCTCGGATGACAGGAAAAAAGCACAAGTCGATTTAACCAATAATCAGAACAATAAACTCGAGCAAAATGATATTTCCATATTGATTGGACAAACCTGTCGAATTTTATATGAAGTTTAGATATAGCGAATCATCCACATTTTAATATATATATCACGGAACTAACAATAATATATAAATCTGTCTTGTAGGGCAACACGGCGATTCACTTGGCATTAAAAGCACACGCCCCCACCGCCGTCATCTGTCGACTCATTCGATCGTCCACTATGAGTCGCCGACACCCCCCCCCCGCCGCCAACAATCATAGTAATAATCCTGCCCAACCAAAACCAATCCAAACCACCAGCTCCCAAAGAGGATTCGAACAGCGCGATCTACATGGAGATACGGCGCTGACGCTGGCTTTACAGACTCGCCATGAGCTGGTCGTAGTGTGTCTGCTCGAACATGGCGCCGAGCCCAACCCTCCTCGTTCAATTCCTTCATCGTCATTATCATCATCGGCGGCCACATCCGACTCTCCGCTGCATGTTGCCATCAAGACGGGGATGCCGGTTGCCGCGCGGGCGCTGGTAGAGCATGGAGCGGCGTGGCATGTTAAGGACTGTGAAGGGTCGTCCCCACTCCCTTTAGCCATTCGATACGGCATGTACGCTTTGGCGTACGATCTCTTGATTGCAATGGCCACCAATCAAGAAGGCGGAAACGCGGGCAGCTTGTTTGTATGGGTGGAGGACGAATCGGTCGTGGGGCTGTGCTTGAAGGCAGGACAGCTGGAAATGGCGGCGCTGGTGCTGGATATGGGCGGCCTACGAGCCCTCCAAGAAGGGTTGGATATGAACAAGAAGCACGAGAGTGTGCTGCATGATGTGATGAAACTGCGTATGTCGATGTTGCACAATCAAGAAGCAGACGGAGAAGCGCAACCCCTCGGCAGGCGAAACACACGACCAACGCCCAATCCACTACTACTACGACGACGACGCGTCACGAGTACTAGTAGTACTACTACTACTAGTAGTCATGGTTTGCATCACGCGTGGCCGGGGGGTAGTTCACACGACTCGTCAAATGCCCACGACTATCCCCCACCGCCGCCGTCTGCCCGTACAAAACGAAGCCGCGCTAAAAGCAAAAGTGACAGCGATATCCTTGGCACGTTGCAGACTACTTGTAATGTCGGCGACTGGACTCACCCGTGTGTCCATGACGGCGGCGGCGGCCGCGGATGCATAATCGTCCGTGTGCTCGACGGCATGATCCTCGGGCTACTGCAACAACTGAACCCGTGTATTTGCCTCTCTAAGCCCACCACTACCAGCACCACTACCAGCAGCACCATCGGTCCAGGTATATATATATATATCCACATTCTTCGACGTGTTGGGAATTCGCTATACCATTCCAAGCAATATACGCGTGGTGTGTTGTCTGATCAGTATGGAATCATTTTGCTGAGTTCGTTCTGATGATTGGTTGAATAGATTTGGTTTTTTCTGTAAGAGCCAATCAAATCATCCACTCAAAATCGGATTAGCCAATAGCGTCGGCGAGATCGGGTCTGGAAATCTGTATCGAATTATCCATGGAAATATCATGCATATATTCTGATTGGCTGAATATATGCTTGTGTCCTTTCAACAAACTAGCCAATCCCAAAGCTCTTAAACACGCGAGATTCGAACATTTGATATAGTATCGGAAATCTCTCTCTATATATATATATATACCACAGACTCCACCATACATAGAAGTTTGCGTTCCCTGTTAGTAGATAGTACTATAGTTAGTACACTACGTCGGACTTTCGAGTACTATATACTAACCAAACCCACGATTGTAGACGCCGCGTCATCACCCCACAGCATGTACCATCGCGATTCGGGGGGGGGATTTGATTGGTCCATGGACTACCCTCCCGACTGGTACACGCCGTTGCACATGGCGGCAGCGGGCGGCCCACGGACCAATCAAATTCTCCGGTGGATGCTCCTGCAATTAAACCCGAAACAGCCGTCGTCTGCGACACCGTGTCACGCCATACTTGGGTTTCTGGCGGAGACAGCACTTGTGGGGCCTTTGAACGAGACAGTGCTGCACGCTGCCATCTCATCTAGTTTTTCCACATGGGATTGCCGGAATGCGCTGGACGTGGTCGATTTTGTCAGTTCCTTGGCGTGTACTGACGACGACGACGACGACCGAGGGACGAACCATGTGCTGCTGATGCAATTCTTGAACGCTACACGAACAGACGGCGCGTCGGCGCTGCATTTGGTCGTCGAGAAGATCATGTCCATAAAGAATAAGTCGTCCAAGATGATGGACATGTTGCATCGACTGCTACAGATGCATGTGGACACGGAAGGATGGAATGCGGCGGGTCTGACGCCGCTCCAAGTGGCGATTCAACATGGCGGCGGCGCGGCGATACTGGAGCGCATGTTGATGGACAAAGGGGGTGGATGTGACAAGGACGGACGCGCAGAAGACGGACGTGTGCCCCTCATGGTGGCGCTGCAAGCGAACAACGCCCATGCATTTCACATGCTGTGGGAACGCGGGGCCAACGCCAACCTGGTCATGCCGTACACTCGACACACTCTATTATGTACCTATCAACAACAACAGCAGCAATACCATGATCCCAGCATTGTCGACGCGATGATTCAACGAGTTTTGGTGGCCAAATCATCGTCGCAGGAACAAGAGGACTGGACTAGCCCATTGCATGCCGACGCTGCGACACGGTTACCAGATGGACGGCGGACATCGGCGGCTGAGTTTCGATCGTTCGATCCTGTCGACACGATTGGGATACCAGAAAAGGTGGTAAAGCACAAACAAGATGTGTCAAAGCAAGCGTGGGGCGTGCTGGCAAATGATCGCCATTGGCACGACTTATCAAGTCGATTCAAACGAGAAGAACACTCGACGCTGCGGTTGGTGGCAGTGGAAGCCAAGCAGCAGGCGCGGACATGGCTCTCCAAGCGCATTGGCAAGCAAAAGATCTTGGCGGATGCGCTCGTGCTCCGGCAGCAACATGTGGCTGAGCACGGCCGGGTGCTGGATGCTGCCATCGCGCACGACTTTGCTGAAAAAGTACGTCTACCTTGTATTTGATACTATATATTTATTTATTCAGTTATAGAGGGCCACACAACAATTTGATATAATTTTATCGGACACGTATAATTTGATATATATATATATATCCGTCAAATATGTTGAACAGAAAAAAGTATTCCTAGTGTCGAATCAAGGTGTGTACCATCCATCATGCTATTCTATCGATAGTTTTCATGCCGTCAGTCATGGCATTTACAGAGGTCATCACACATGAAAAAAATAGTTGGTCCCGTCCCATTTGAAAAGGAAATTATACTTATTCTCTGTCACAATAATAGTATATATTTGCTGACATGGCAGCCAAAGTAACCTTTATTTTCATTGTTGATTCGTCATATATATTGTTTGATAATGTGATTTGGATAGATGTTTGTAATATATATTGTTTGATAATATGATTTGGATAGATGTTTGTAATATATATTGTTTGATAATATGATTTGGATAGATGTTTGTAATATATATTGTTTGATAATATGATTTGGATAGATGTTTGTAATATATATTGTTTGATAATATGATTTGGATAGATGTTTGAAGTATATATTGTTTGATAATATGATTTGGATAGATGTTTGAAGTATATATTGTTTGATAATATGATTTGGATAGATGTTTGTAATAAATATTGTTTGATAATATGATTTGGATAGATGTTTGTGGATAAACACGTGGCCGACATGGTATCCGAAGCCAAACTCGAAATTGAACGCGAAAAGCAAACGCTGATGTACGAAATGTCGGTCCAGGACGACGAACTGCGGACGATCGCTCGACACGGACGGACAGTCCAAGGACAATGTACTAGTAGTACTAGTACTAGTAGTACTAGTAGTAGTACCCTGGGTACGTCGACGCTACTGCATCGCTTGGAATTGTTTACCCGACAGAGGATAGATGACGAAACTGGTGACGAAGTTGGTGACGAGTATCTCTTGCCTCTTGATTATGCCCGCAACACCATGTGCTAAATAGAGTGTATGATAAAATCGCTAGTACTTATCGAAGCTGTGAAACGCAACTATATGTAACACAAAGTCCGTTTGATCGCCCAAATTGACTGGATTGTTGAAATCACCAAGAAATTAATTAGCAAACAATAAACATGCAGTACAGTATGTAGTAGGAATAATTATGTCAGACAGAATGAAGAGTGATATATTGTACTAGTTAGTACATATGTATGATTGGTTCAAAACGAACGAATATATTTTTCATTCGTCGACTTTGATATTATTTTATATACTAGTATATATATATATATATATCAGTTTTTCGACGGAGGGTGAGGGAAATATATGATCAAATTCGTACAACGAACTCGATGGAGCTGATGCCTATAATCGCAATGTTATACGATCGGATTTTAGTTCTTACTTCACCTGATCGCATATTGATATGAGTTTATTCTAAACTGGAGCTAAATGGACAGAAGGATTTAGCCAATCAGATTGCAGGAAACCACCATCCACGTCAAATTAGTGTGTGACTTCAATTAGTGTGATATCACGACACACACTTTTTACATACAAAATTCAGTACAACGAATCGATCGATGGATTTGGCGATTCAGCACAAAAGCCAACCAAATTTTGGGTAAAAGAAAGACAATATTTGGTGGTGATTTGGTCGTCAACCTTACTCTATGACTTTTCTTCGAAACGCATTTCATTATGCATATCATGGCGTGACTAGAATTTAAGCAAATACATAGTAGCACACAAAATTGTCAACAACTTGGATGTAATATTTGAGACAGCTACTTTCAAAGTCACCCAACATGGGCTAAAGTAAACCGATCAGCTCAAGACTCATTTAGTGTGTTTTCAAGTATTTTCTCTACAAAATGACGCATTAAACAAGTCGCTAAGAGACATATTGGTTGAGATATTTACTGCAAAATAGGTTATATTTACGTGTTTTGGCTACATGCTACAATGTTGCAATCGCCACATTTCTAGCCTTGAACGATAGCCCGCAACTCACACCCCCATTTTGGCCCTAATAATATTTCGGAAATTTGGTTCAAAGCAATTCGAAGAATTTGGTTGTCACTACATAATTTTGACTGTCTGGATCAAACTGATTTCGAAAGAAACGCGATGATTCTCCGATTTACATGTCGAAAAACGAGATAATTGGCAAAATATTGAATTCTCCAAAGTTTGGATCGACATATTTTTTTATTTTTTTTGCTGATTTCTCCAACATATCAAAGATTTTGGCGTTTTCTTTGACATCCAGACTACTCGCCCTAAATAGATCAAAATATGAATTCATTTGGGCCGCTCTGGTGACACAAATATGTCTGAAAACAACTGGTCGTTTTGCAACTTTTCAGAAATATTGTGACATTTGTTTTCAAACGACAGGTTTTGTGTATCTGACATATACAAAAGTGGCATAATACGTCAAATTTTTACTCTTTTCTGGCAGAAAAAAGTTTGACCTGCAACCATTGTTTCCAGCATGTTAGCTACTGTATTCCAGTCATAGCTCGCATTCATCATGGCATCCAAATATTTTTTTACAAATATTTTTTTCTCACCTCCCATTTGAAACGGCAATGCTATATATTATTTGACATCGAATAAATTTCTGTGGCATCCAGACTCGGCGTTATAATTTAAATTCTTCGAAGAATATATTGTTAACTATGACAATCGACCTGCAATATTATTACTTGGAAGTATTACTATGTATGCTGCCAATGACGACGGTTGAATCCAAGAGGAAATCATTTATAAGAGTATTGTCGATTTGATACAAATTTGGGGAGGGGGTGCAATCGAATCGCGCCGACGAAACCTATCCACAATCGATCTGATTGGTTGAATTTCATTTAGAATGTTTTGATTGGTTAATAATTTGAGCTCTTCCGAAGTAGCCAATCAAATCGATTTAAATTCCAACGAGAAACCACGCTACAACACGAAATTTCACTCGAAAGCACAATAGAATATTGTTGCTTTCGAGTGTTATGGCGTGGTTTCTCGTTGGAATTTAAATCGATTTGATTGGCTACCTCAGATGAGCTCAAAATTATTAGCCAATCAAAACCCTCTCAATGAAATTCAACCAATCAGATCGATTGTGGATCGGTTTGGTCGGCGCGATCCGATTGCACCCCCTGCCCAAATTTGTACTATCAAATCGACAATATACAATCGAATTTTTCTTTACAGCGACACCGTTTCTCCTTGTTCTACTGTCGCCTGCTTGATCAACCCGGACGTTGCCGCGAGGAACGCCAGCCGCCCCGGCATGTCCGATGGGGTTGCACTCGTACTAGTACTAGAGCTACTAGTAGTAGGACTAGCATGGCCAATTCCTCCAGCAGTAGGCCACACGCCGAGCCATTTCCGAGCCAGGGCGGCCAATCTAGGAAACATGTGCTGGTGGTGGCGCCACCACTGGAGCGGGTCGTCGATGCCCCCCGCGACTGTGACAAAGTACGTTGCGCACTCATCCTCGAGGTCCATCGGACGCTCATGGTGGAGGCTAGTACTACTAGTACTACTACTAGTAGTATTCCCCCCCAACGCTTGTGTCATGTACTTGTTGGGGGTCGGGAGCGGCCGACATTCTTGGAGCAAGCGGTGTTTCAGTTGGCTTTTGTCTTCATCAGTGGGGCAATGCGCCAACGTCGCCGCAACGCTCGGATGTAGCGCCGAAATCCACAGCAACGCCGACTCGTCAATGTAATTTGCCAGCAATGAGTGCAGAAATTGCTGCGTCGATTGCAGATGGGGGAACGCCATCAGTTGCAGGTCCAGTTGTTGTGGCTGGCCTAGTTGTGGCTGGCCTTGATGTGGCTGGCCTTGTTGTGGCTGGCCTAGTTGTGGCTGGCCTAGTTGTGGCTGGCCTAGTTGTGGCTGCAGTTGGGGGGAGGGGGGGGGCCATCCACGAGATGCAAAAAACTCGGCGTTGCTAAGATCATGCACGAGTAACTTGACGACGGAGAGAAGCACGGCGGTCTGTGGAGGTGTCGGAGTTGGTTGCGAACGGGATGGAAGCATCGACGCGACTTGGAGCAACGGCTCTAGCAACATGAGAAACCCGTCCAAGATAGTCCAGTCCATATCTGATACATGGGGCACGGCGGGGTCGTGGGTAGCGTCGAGGTAGGCGGCGACTGCTGGGCGGAGGTGCTGCCACGTGTACAGCATGTGATAGGTGGGTTGCCACTGCGATGGGCACGCTACGGGAGGAGTCGGGGTATTCGACTTAAACGCGTTTTTTGTTTGAAACGAACTGAATCGATCCAGGGTTTGGCGGGTGGGGGTCGATGGGTTAAAGTACTGCGCCAGCGCGGCAATTCGACTCACGAGCGGCGGACATAGGTCGAGATGGGGGGAAGAAGTAGAGGAGAAGGGGGGGGCTTGATATCTGCGATACAGGGAGGAGGGGGGGTCACTTGGGGGAAAGAACGACGAGATGATCGTGTTAAAGAGGTGGTCGAGGCAGCCGAGGGTGCGCACGGGAAGGCCACGTGTGTCCATATCTGAGACGAGAACCGAAATCTGCGACAAGGGGAGGTTCCATTCGTGGAGGACGTGGGCTAAAGATCGGTTCAAAAAGTCGACGGGAAGGGGGGTCACTAAAGGGAGGGGCTGGAATGCCAGGGGAACGTGGCGCCACTCGAACGAAGTTTGTGTGACGTGGTGCAGCGTCCATTCCAGGTGCGGAATCTGCGATACAGTGAGAAGCACGACGTGGCACGACAGGCTAAAGCACGCCGCCGACGGGTGGTCCAACGATGCCATCACTGCGTCGCGGCGCTCCATATACAGCTTGTTCAGGTGGGACTCTAACATGCGGCGACTGGGTACTGTGAACTGACCAGGACAAGCTTGAATGGCATGCAATAGCTTGAGGAAATGAGGATTTTCTACCAGGTCCAATGCACTGGACGTGGCCGACGCGATGCACTCGACTAGATGGCGCTCGCAGTCGAGGATGGCGGGTGTGGATGATGAAGGAGTAGTGGACGGAAGGGGCTTGAGCTTATCCGAGGCGCGCATGAGCTTCTTCACGTACAAGTCGACGTCGGCGCGATGTTTGCTCTTGACGTGGCGATGGAGGTTCTGCGATCGGACGTAGTCGTGCGGAAAGCAGTCGTCGCAGAGATGGCAGTAGAAGTGCGACGCATCCCGAGATGTCCATCCTGTGGCCGGCGGCGGCGCGAGTCCCACAGGCGCCACCAAGCTCACGTACATCCAGATCTCGGGGCGATTGATGTGCTTTACCTTGAACAGCGAGATAGGCCCGAGTTTGCGCGAATGGAACGTGGTCGCGTGGATACCACCGACGTTGTGGCCGGTGTGGGACGTATATGTCGAGGACGGGAAGATGCTGTGGATGATGTCACCACGGAGCATGGCGGCTGTCGTTCGAGGTGGCTTGATGGAGCCGTCGTCGACGACGCCGGGGTCGCAGGTTGCTTTCCGCTTCCCAGACAACACATCAGTCGTGTCCATGGCGCGTTGCGTTTGCGATGCCTGCAGGTGCTGCGGTGCCGAAAATGACACTTGTTGGATCTCCCCCAAATGCTTGGACTTCATGTGTCGATGGAGGTTTTGCAGCCGAGTTGAGTCGTGGGCGAACACATCGTCGCACAGGTGGCAGTAGAACTGCGGCGCTTCCTTGGAGGAGCACTCCATGACGTCCAGCCCAGGCGCAACGAGACTCGCATACTCCCAGATCTCTGGCCGCGAGATGTTCTTGAGCTTGAACACTCTCAGATCGCCATGCTTGGCCGAATGCAAGGGAGTCGTCGGAAGTTTCCCCATCTCGAATTGACTCACTCTCTCTCTCTCCAAACAACTACAAATGGAGATTTTAGTGAAATTGTGGCGAAAATTTGAACAGATTTTGCCAATTTGAGCATTCTGATGTCCAATCAAAGCGCAGCAGGTACGAAAGAAGTTGTGAATTTTAGCCAATCCAAACGTTGTTCCATCAACGATCATTCCCAGTTTCGAATCCCAGCATGCTTCCGCTGGTGCGCGATGTGTACAAGCGGGTGCTTGTGGTCGGCCGCGACTACCCCCTGGGCCTGGACTACGTGCGTGAGAAGGCAAAGGCGGCATTCTTCGACCAGGCACACTTGACAGCGGACAGCGACATCAAACGCGCGGTGCACTATGGTCGGTGGAAGGTCAAGGAGATGGTAGGTGTGATCCAGCTGAAAAAGTATCGCGCGATGAACCAACGGTACACTCCTGCCGACATGCACGTGCTGTTGCGTACGTTGCACGAGGAAGCGGTTGCGTCACTGTCCAAATCTGACCCTCTCGACCGCACCAACGACCCTCGGCCAGCATCATTCTGACCTTTGGCCACTCTGTGACATTTACAATCCTATACAAGTATGACCAAACGCCGCCGTCTCTATTGCGGTATACTAATAAATAATACTATAGCGTACAGCTGCTAGCTCTACGCCACCATGGGAAGGGCGGTGCATTGGATGTTCACGGGCTGGCCGGTGGCATCTCGAACCAACGCCACCGACACAAACACTGGCTTGGGAGAGGTCCCAGGAGCTTGCCACGTCATCTTGGTTTGGGCGGAGCGACCATCACCCGCAATGATTGTGGTCACAAGGGACTGCATCTTGTGCACATTTGGCAATCCCACGCACAGACCGTACAAACTGAGGCCCATACTGTTGGGAAAGTGTTGGAGAAAGAGATGGCTTGCATGCACCAAGGACCCGTCGAGGCGGGCGATGGCCGACGGGACGCTTGCATGCAGAAACACTTGGTGGAAGGATGCGGTGGAGTCGGCGACGAGCTCTGGCATCCAGAGGTACTCGATGGAATGAGGATGCGTTCGAAGGGAACGAATATGGAGGTCTGCAGAATCCATGGGGTCGTTGGTGAATATGGGAGGAGTCGTAGTGGGGATCGAGTTTTGGTCCTTCTTTCCATAGGTACATGAGATACTGGTTGGTTGAGACGAAGATGGTGTCATTCGAGCATGCGCATCATATTCGAGGGCAGCAATGTACTCGATCGTGGCTTGCAGGATGCTGTGCTTGTCCTTCTTGTTCGTAATCAGCCCAGCAGCTTCCAGCGTGGCCTTGAGATGGTCGAACTGACTGCCTAGACGCAAGATGCGACGCTGTTCTCGAAGGTTATGGCGCTGTTTACGAGATACGTCGGCGGTGGGAGACCGTGTGCTCGTCGGCGTGTGGCTTTCCCTGCATGTGTCAAGCATATTCTTGAATGAGTGTATGGAGGAGGAGCATGGACAACGTACGATCCAAAATGGTCTGACGGACTCGTCGACGATGAAGGCGGTCGGTTGGTTGGCATGCTGAGGGGACAATGATGATGGGGTGTTCCGCCATTCTTGTCGACGACACCGAGGTTGATGTGCATCGTCGGAAACGGCGTGTGCTGGTCGTGCTTCTCGTCCTTGCCACTGCAAGTAGTGCTAGTACTTGGTCTCCGGGATGATCTGGTTTCCATGATAGGGCCATACGAGCTCGTTGTCGACGAGGCAGGAAATGTAGTGTTGCCTGCTGTTAGCACCATCCTTTGCTCCATGACTGTACGTGGTCACTACTGTGTACTGCTGGACAGTCAGTGAAGTAAGTGATCACGCCCAAGCACGAAGCAGACGCATCTTACGGCAACAACCCACTATGTATGTGATGGGGATTCGTCGAAGTAAACGTCCGTCACATATGTAACTTCGAGGGGACGGAAGACATGTCCATTTTCGAACGACCAAGGTCACGATGGGCAGCGCATTTCACTTGCCGAGATGCGTGCAGGATTTAAGGTACTTGATTCATCTACCGTTCGAGAGACATGTGTTTTGCGGGTGAAATGCATTAATGCCCAAAGTCCTCGCGATCAGCAGAGTCCCGCGCCCGATCACATGGCGTCCCTCCCAACTCGACGCACCATATGACGCAGATTCAAAGCATACTTTAACGCAGTACAATGAAATCTCAACCAAATCAGGGCTTTGCTCCTATACCAGTATTACAGGTACTTTCATATTTCTGTCGCATGTCCAGGATATTGGTACGTAGCTGTAAACACAAAAAATGCGCTTTGAAATGACTTGGAACTATATGTGGACGACAGTTTTCCACCTTGACATGGTACTATTCATAGCCGTATTATTGGGTAAGTACTTAAGTACTTTTTGTTGTGGTACAGTAAGTACTTTGTCACGACTCTTTGGGGGATATTCGAAGTTCGAAGTAAAACCGCTTCGCCTTCAATGACAGCAATTGTTTGATTGGATAATAAGATTATCATTTTGGCGAATCAATTCGTAGGAATGTAGTGTAAAGTGATTGGCTGAAATGATTGATTTTTGATTTTCTAGTCCAATGAAACAAGTGCTTGACGTTTTACTATAATGTCGGCGGCAACAACAAAGGCGGCACTGGACGCGCTCCTTGTAGACGGTGGCGATGTGTCGAATGTGACAGTATATGGACAGCTATCTCGGAAGAGATTGCTTTCGTACGTGCTTCGTATGCATGAGGACGTGCTGGACCATGGCGATCCTAACGATACATACCGATGGATAGGCGTGGACTTATCTTCGGCGACTTGCTCTTGGCCGACAACAGTACGTTTTCATCATGATGATGATGCCTGAAGGAACCCTCATTGATCGATATCGTATGAACGATCTAGCGCTCTTGAACTTTATGGTGCGGTCGGCGGAAGGTTGGTTGACCAAGGAACAAGTCGTGGCACTCAAGTTCGCCATGCATCTTGGAGACTTGTTGACGGCGCGAGGGCGGCTAGAGCGGACGGCGGGATCCAACCAGCTCATGTTCGTTCTGTTTGAGTGTTCTGTGACAGTTAGCTGGGAAAGTGTCCATCCAGGTAGGTGTCCATCGCCCGTTGACTGATTGACCTCCATGTTCCCCGTAGGAATCGCATATTCAAGCGACCAGTCCACGTTCTACACGAGCGCCGACAGCGGCTCATCCCAGACGAATATGGTGACATTGCAAGGAAGGAATGCATGTAAGCACCACTTTAACAATGCCAGTTGCGTGCGCGGGGCCGAGTGCCAGTTTTTTCACGGGTACCAGTAGTACAACTACTAGTCCTAGTATGACTAGCCACCCACCTCTGTTGGATAGACACCCTGACGAGTACAACGACTTGCGCAAGGAATGGCTGGCCAAGCGCTTGCAACTCAAGCAAAAAGTATCTGCGATACAGGGCGACACCCACGACCCAGCGGAAAAGAAGCTCAAGCGCGCTCGAGCGCACGTCTTTTGTGATTGGATCGTTGCTACATTTGGACAGAAATGGCTCCAGCAACGCGGCGGTGGCACCGTGTTGGACGTGGCAGGCGGGCGGGGTGACCTTTCATTTGAGCTCTGGGCCAATCACAACATTCCGTGCACGTTGGTGGAGCCGGTATTATAGTCGTTTTAGTGAGTATTTAGGCATTTTCGTGCTGATTTCCCAAATCTATTCTTTGTCCTGACTTTTTTGTACATGTACTACCATTATTCGTCCAGTATCACACTAATTGAAGGCACACACGACTACTGTCAAGGTAGGGGGGGTGGATAATTTGATTCGTGTGCTGGGTTTTGATTGGTCGATCGATATTTGGTAGTGCGTTTGCTATCACACAAATGGAAGTTACCCACTTTGACGTTTTCCTGCAATCTGATTGGCTAAATTCTTCTGCGAGCAGTACATTTAGTTGGTCGTGTCGATTTTTATGTATTAGTATTATTCTCCATGGCGCTCCAGTTTTTCAAACGTGTTTGTTTCGCGTTCGGAACGCTGTTTGGTTCCCGTTTCAAACAAATCCTGCCACCGTATGTCACGTGAATTCGAAACGTTTCGTAGCGACTGCGCAAGCCGCGCAAACAACACTTGAAAGCGCTGGCGGCCGACCCCGGTCTCACGTTGCCTCGTCAAGTATATATATATATATCCATTCCCTCGCTTTAACGACCATATTAATCACTCATGGGTGTTGGTATACTAGATCCAAGCTTGTTTGGATACAACGACCATGGTTACCCACAGCAGTACCTTTGACTTAGCGACGTTGGTTGTTGGGATGCATCCAGATGAAGCCACCGAGGTGATTGTGGACATGGCCCTTCGCCTGCAAAAGCCGTTTGCAGTCGTGCCGTGCTGTGTGATGAGTCGGCTGTTTCCTACGAGGCGTTTCGAACACCAAGTGGTCGCCACGTACGATGTGTTTGTCCAGTACCTCCGTAGCAAACACCCGAACATGCAAACCACGTTTTTGCCGTTTGGCGGGAAAAACCAAGTGCTGTACATGCTGCCTTGCCACTACGAAAGTCCTCCGCCAAAGATATAAAACGCAACGAAACGTCCCGTACAGCAGAAGACAACGTTAGGACTATTAGTTTTATGCTGTACTACTGTGGGTACACCCAAATATATTTGTGGACTTGAGAGTCATTTCGCCAAATAGGTTTTGAATCGATTTAATCTTGTACACGCTATACTATACAACGATTAGTATAGATATGGTTTTGCCCAATGCGGAGGAGTCAAACGTTTGGATTGGCAGAAATTCGACTTGACTACGTGATTTGATTGGCTCAGGTGGTTCGTTAATCGATTCCCCTAACACCGAGGGGCGACAGTGAACTACTACGTAGTAGTCAACTGTGCGCTTGTACGATAACCCCTGTCGATGCTGAATTGGACCTCTGAACGCCACCAATTTTCACAGTCCTACGTCAAATGGCTGATGTGTCCACCCTGCTACAGTAACACCGCCACCACAGCCGACAACATCGCATCGACAACCAAGTCGCCCCGATTCTGAGGGCGGTGATGGCGTCATCAGCACGATGAACGAATTAGTGAGCACCATGTAGATTGTTTTGTTAGAGTCCACGTCATAGTTGGCTCATCGTACGATAAGCTCAAGGGTGTACCTCTTTTTAGACGAGTGAGATCCTTTGCGGCGTCGAACTGCGAGCGGCGTGCGCATCGACATGATAGATTTCTACTGTAACGTTCGATTGAATATGATGTGATTGTCGTCATGTTGGATTCATTTGGTGCCGCACTCGTAGCAGCTATACGTATACAGTGCGGCGGCGAATCCGAATAAATCTCATGGGTGGGGAAATTAAGATTTATCCCTGGGACTCGCTGTTATCCGTACATTATCCGAATAAATCTCATTCGATGAATCCTGCGAGTGGAGTTCAAGCGCTTTCTCCATTAACGTTAACCATTATTCTGTGATAATTGACCAAGGGACAGCGCGTTGATCGAGCTTGTGCAGCATAAAAAAGTGTATCCTAAACTGCTGTTCCACTATATGATGCATATAATTGCCTTAGGGTTCGTCTGGTAACCGGAAATATTGCAATATTCAAGCCCAAAACGCCATTTTGGGGGCGAATTCAACAAATATGATAAAAGTGAAACATGACTTGCTTGCAGAGGTTTAACCCAAATCCAATAATTCCACGTGGGATTTACTCGTTGAAGAGGTCCAAAACGCCACATTACAAAATGGACCTTTTACCTCCATTTTGAAAATGACATTTTGGTTAATCCCATTTTGCGATAAAATGGAATATTATTTTTGAAATGTTACCAGACGAACCCTTATCGTACACCATTATGATCTTACAACTCTGTGAAATCATAATATTCCTCAAAATATTAGGTTTAAGAAGGAGAACTGGACTTGATACCGGTATGGTCGTCCATGGACCCACTCGAGTGATGCTGCTTTGAAACGACCTTCAAGGCATTCAGAGAGTTAATGTATTGGCCCTATGAGGTAACTGGTTATCTATTCTTCTCCACAGCAATGCCCTCCAGTGGTGATCAAAATATTATTTATATTTATTCTTGCCCACTATCCCAGAGAATTATCTAATTTTTGGCAAACCAGCAACTTGATATTTATTCCACAGGAGCTGCTCAATGAATAATTCGTTCTAAAGTGTTCATTCTAGAGTGACGTCGTCTCACAAGAATAACATATTCAAATTAATCTTAATTATTTTAGTCATCATTGATTGGTGTTAACTCCATACTAGCCAATCCGATCGTCCAGTGAAATGTAAACGTCGAAGGTAGAGAGTAGTTTTGCACTCGGAAGTGGGCGACATAACGTGCTAGACCATACAGGTAGTGAATGATTACAGCACGGCGCATTGAGGCTTAATTCATTGAGCGTGTTACACCTACGTATTTGGGCCGAATCTTCTGTATTTACACCACACACTGCAGGCCCTTTCATTTCTGACGTTACCATATACAGATAAATAATAGTTCTGGCCTCAGAGGGTGTCGGAGTTCACTACAGTAATAGGGAGATTTCGGAGATGACTTCTCTTTTTCTTTTTCCGTAAAAATTGAAAGCAAAGTAAAAGCAAGGGATTTTATATCGACGATTTCGGTGATAACAATTTTTCCCTATCCGTAGACTAGATGGAGCAAAATTTGTGGACTTCGTGGATGATCGCCGATGTCATTGTGAAGTCGTCCCATGGGTCATTCGCCGTTGAAGCTTTGGGGCTAGTAGGGACGACAGAGGCATACGAAGCATTGAATTGACTGAAACTCATATTGTGTTAGTTCAGTAGTTCTACTATCTGTAGGACGTTCGGAAAGGCGTAGCTACGAAGGTAAGGAGTGGCTGGCATCTAAAGTAGCACACCTCGGCAACTGGCACCAAAGCGCCAGCTGCAGAGGAGTGCTTCTATACTAGTACTTATATAGTGCTTTTAAGATATCGTTGATAGCCACTGGTACAGCTCTGGCTGGATGTACTGCTAGGCGCGGTCGACTAAGCTGAGTACAAGTGTATACATGTGATGATTCTACGTCACTATGCATAAAGATGGAGGTTATCATTAACTTGTTCGCTCCCACCGCGCCTCTGATCGACCTCCACTTTATGTGGGTCATCCTCCACGCTTCCACCTTCCACGCTCCATTCGAAGTGCCGAAGTGCCAACAACAAAAAAGCGTTGCACCAAGTCAACAGATCTGGCCAATCATGGTCGAGGATTCGAATTCCCAAAATGGACCCATTTCATGGATTCTGGTACTAAGTTCCGGAGTTTTCCTCAACCCTATAAAGCTTCAGAGGTTATTTTAAGGATAAAGACAAATACTAATCTCCGAAATCTCCCTAATGTAACTACTCCTGTACTCAGTATGGGAATTGGTTTTCACAGTCAGCAAAGCAACCACGAATTATTCCAATCATTGCAAATACTTATTTCGTTCGAGGTTTCCAGAAAAACATATATTCTCTCCTTCGATAAAAATGAACTATTTATTTTTCTCATTCCAGAAAATGAATTACTACGTATTAATACTACCGTACTTCCCGCTCATCTGTAACCACCAAAATGTTTCAAATATAGTTACAACTTCATGGGAATGGCAAAAACCATACCACTGTCGTTTCCGCGTAATTCAAGTATTTTCATTGGTTAAAATGTTTGCCGCGTGTTTGAATGATTCAAACCACTTCTGGTTGCTCAAAGGCAGCCACAATCAAAATGCCTTCAGATATCTGCCGAAGTCGTTCGAAGTCTGGCCAACGGAAGGTCATCACACTGCGATACAAAGTTCGGGTCATTCAAGCCATGTGGAATGGAATGATTCGTGTAGCTGTATTAATTTGGATATTAATCCTATGATCTGTTGTACTCTTCAATGTGTTCCATGAGGACTTCCTTTACGAGGCCAATGCACCTATCGGAACGGGATCGCTTGGAAGCACTGTATTCGACTCTGTAGTCTTCTACAACTATCGCAAACTTGTTCGCAAACTTGTTCTTGCTGTTGACAAGTCGACGAGGCAGAAAGCCGACATGACAGAGTTGCTCTGCACCCACAATCTTGTAAACCTTGAGTGTTTCTTCGAGAAGGCCATCGTTTACTCGGACAACTTCACAGCGAATAACAACCACGTCGTTGACAGTCAAGCTGTCACCGCAAACCTCATGGGACGTGCAGCTTCTCGTGCCCTCACCACTCGAGCAACCAACGATGTCCACGGCCTTTAACTCCATACGCCACCCACACAGGCAAACCTTTTTTAACTGGTTACTTCGAAGTATTATTTATCCAATCATGGGGCACTAGTTACAAATTTATAGGAACGCCTATTTTGCTTCCAGCAGACTGGCATTATTTTAGTCTTGATAATTGTATCGGGATATTTTGTGGGTTACAGTTGTATGGGAAAAAATCACCGTTACAGATGAGCGGGAAGTACGGTAGTACTTCGTAGTACTTCTATACGGATTCATGCAATATGAATATATTCTTCTGGAGAATTATTTTATAATTACCACTGATGTCCTGTAGCTTGCACGACGCCACTCGTCGCTGAACTTCCGCAAGAACCGATGAAAGATGGATTGCATTGCTATTGTGTTTAGAACATAACATGCATTTGGAATAAAGCTTGAAATTTGACTCCTCAGCGTGTCGATTTGTATAACGTAGACGGGCAGTTTATGGGGCATGGAACAGTTTAACTTCAGTCAAATTAGTCACCGCCTGCACAAAATTATACACACGACCTCGGCTACGCTGCGGTGCGCGCAATTTTGTGGGCGGATGTTCTGTTGTTGCTCACTACTGTAAGGTTTTGTCGTTGTTGGAAAAAAAAAGTGAAACATGGGATTCGAACCCTCAACCTCCCGTTTCCAAGCCTATTACAGTGACACCACTCGCCTAAATCGGCACTATTGAAATGACTGGTGTGTGTGAATTAAATAAATACATTAATCCCTACTGTAATCCGTCTAGTCAGTCATTCAGTCTCTGGGTTAGAGGTTTACTAGACCTCTTGACGTATACTGGGACTGAGAATCAGGTGCGAGTTAGGCTACGGTGTGATACACTGAAAAGTAATACGAAGGGAACAATTAGTTTTTCGTTCTGTGACGATGCATCAAGTCTATCAAACGTTGTCGCCAGGGCAAGAACTCGGCATACTCGCGTTGGATGAGTTGGCGCCGCACGTACTCATCCTTGAGTCCGTCGTCGACGTCGGTCACGTCGATGCCCCTCAACGCCGCAAGCTCGTCCACACTTAAAAACCCGGTGGCAGGTCGAAACAAGTGCGACGCATGACTCACCACGCGTACTGAGATGTGCGAGGGCGATACCTGCCGCACCTCGGTCCTACATAACACCCACAGCGTCCATCCAATCCACGTTTAAACACCATCATCACACACACTAGTATATACAGTATACGGTGCACTCACCACGACCTCAAGTGCCGCTGCTTGTGCTGGGGGTGGCATACATGGACTTCGTCGTGTTCAACTTGGCGCATGACCATGATGAACCGGTCGGCTTCGATGAAGTGGCCTTGGAGCGAGTTCACGAAAATGCCTTTGGACGTCGTCGTGTGCAAGAGGCGTGTGTTGCCCGTGCACTCTTCTACCACCTGCATATAGTACATACAGTACATATAGTCAGTCACGTTAGGCACAATCAATCAGGCACGGTTGGTCCGTTGATTTGACTACCGATATGTACATTGTATACTTGCCGTGTCGTCAGGGTGAAGGAACATCACCGACTGTATGTTGGACTCGACCAGTCGACGAAACATGTGCACCGTGCCTGGACACATGCACTGCGTCGTTCCCAAGCGCCTGAACGGGTCAACATCGTCCGACATTCGCACGTCAATATGGAAACAATCCTCGTCGTCATAGCTCATGGCAGGAAGCAACGCGAACGGTTCGTGCATGTTGTGGTACATTTGCTGTGTGAGCCACTCCTTGGCCAGGTTTCGAGCCCTCGGGTCGGCCATCAACGTTGCACTGTGCCACGCATCCTCATTTCTGCGACAAGACATGGGTGGCTAAACAAAACGCAATGATCGCACTCTAGTATGGATAGCGAGAAACGTACCGGAATGTTCATCACGACAAAGCATTGCATGGCGTGCATGAGGGAGTGATACTCTTGTGTTTGAGTGACCAGTGACTGGCGATCGGTTAAGACACGATGGGCTTCTCTTTTGAACACTATGGCAATGGAATGCCACGACAACGGACCATCGCTTGCTTCACGCGGTGCCACCGACACTGGCCTGGTCGCTTGAATATCATCAAGGACCGACTCAAGCTGCACGAGCTCCGCTTTCATGGCCGCGCTGTCAGCATTCTTTTTGCCGCAATACTTGCGCTGTTTTTCTCGAAAGAATTGACGGCGAGCCAGAATTTTGTCGACAATCATGAGGACCTCGTCGGGGCTGGCGCTGCTTGCACCGCCAATGTTGGACGCCATTTTTCCTGTAATTCGGACGGAATTGGTGCTAACAGTGCTACTTCGTGGTATTGATCACGTGATTGGTGCAATTTTCGAATTTTGGAGTTGTAATGTTACTTTATTTTTATAACGGAAGTACTATTGTACTACTTCTGAATGCTGTAGTATTTGTGTATCTGCATTGGTTTTAGCCAATTAAATTGCAACCTATGAATTTTCTATCCAATCATTCTGCTTTTCTCGATTTGTTGGTGATTTCAACAATCCCCCAAATTAGGTAACGCATGAGTCGGACACCTCCATCAAATTATATATTTTGGCATCTTGGCAAGAATAGATTCACACAGGAATTCTATGCTCCAAAAATAACTTGTCACGGGCAATGTACTACAGTATACTCCCTCAAATTATATGAGAGGCTGGAAATATTCTTACTTCGAAGTATATATCTTCCAGCGGCGTCCAGCACAACAAGTCGAAGGAGCACAATAATATTGTTAATGTGTTTATTCTAAACTGGAGCGACAATGAATCGACACCAACCAAATGTACACAAGAATCGGCAAAACGATTTAGCCAATCCGATTTCACAGTCAGGAAACCGCCATCGACGTCAAATTAGTGTGAGACTTCAATTAGTATGATACCAATCACCTCAGAACACCTTTTTATTGTATATCGCTTACGCTTTGGGCGCAGTCTCCTCTTGTTTTCATCCTATAGTACTGTATGTAGAATGCACACCAGTTCTTTAAGAGCTTGATGATATGCTGAAAAGGTTCGATTAACGATACAAATATCTATGTATAAAAGTAAATGAGTATCATGCGCTTAACGTACATATGAATAAGGTTGAAACTCATAACAAAGTTCCCCGAATAATACAACTAGCCAAGGGTTTGATTGCTGCGGTAATAGTTTTTTCCAATCATATCAATTCTGGCATCTTATCGGGCAAGACGGCAAGACGTTCGGCAAATCAATGATTGTTTACGATATCGCCGAATGGGCCACTGCATTCGTATAAACCTTTGGATATGGATAATTCTCCTATATATCAGATATACTACGTAGCTTGATAAAATTATGAGAAAACACAGTGAAAATCAATCATCATAGTACTTCTTTGCTGTACTATTAATACCAACTACAGTAGTACTACTACGTAGTAGTTGTACGGTACTATTAACTGTTAATAGTAGTACTATTACTGTATCAGCACCTTGTACTGTACTGTTGTACTGTACATACAGTGCCAAATATCGTGTTCTGTACTGTACTACGAAGTACTGTACTGTAGTACAACGTAGTATACGTTTAGCAATCATTAACTGTAAGCTTACTCTATGCGGTATCAAATTTTGTCCTTCTAGTACTCCTTCTAGTACTAAGCAAAGTACAGGCATCATGCTCTCATCGGATGTACCAGTCCTTCCTTTGAATGCAAGGTTAAATGCTAGTTACCCCATTCAGTACATCCGCGTGGACTACGTACACTAGTACATTCTACTGTACGTACAATACTATGTACTGTAGTGAACTCAGGAAGAGTACAGTTGTACTGTACAGAATATCAGTCAAATTACGACAATTGTTGATTTCATTCCCCACACTTGCATTTGAAGTGTGATTACTAAAAGTAGTCAAAATAGTGCATTGAATATCTTGAGATAGCTTAATATGACGCATTTTGACGGTTATGTTGAACTTGATTAAAGTATGGATTGATTATTTTGACGCATTTGGGACGGTTACTTAGACTTGATTAAAGTATGTGTGCACAGATTGTATACCGCTTACGCTTTGGGCGCAGTCTCCTTGTGTTCATCATATCCTTCTATTAATACTACGTACTGTAGTAGTAACGTTATTTATACTACGTATTCGTTGAATAGACCACTCAATTCCAGTGTCAGTACTACGTTGTACTATTAGTAGTACTAATACTAGGGAGCGCTACTGCATACTGTAGTATTAATAGTATGTACTTCAAGTACTATGTAGTACTACTAATACTAGTAAGTACTGCTAGTAGTACTGTATTACATTCCTGGAAATACTACTGCTAGGTACAGTAGACTATTAATAGTACTAGTACGTACCCCACTTCAATTCGTACATACTCTTTATGGCATGGTAGGACATGGTAGGACTGTTATCCGGAATCCGGTTAAAATTTGTTATACGGATTTAACCGGTTGATGTTGTCCCGATCGTGCAGCCCCCCCCACACATAAGGGCTGCTGACAAAAGTTTTAGGCGCCCCAAAGGCTCTTACGCTGGTCTATCATTGAACGGCATCGCACGTGTAGGGCTTTTCGCCACAAAAACCTGCGGTCGGTTTTGGAGGT